GCGCTCCTTACCCCTTGTCTGGAGAGAGTGTCCAGCTCCATTAGCATGTCAGGCCAGTGCTGAGGCCATTCTCGTTTGATCATCTCTACCACAATTCTAGACAGAACATCTTTTATGTGGTTCTCCTCCTCCAAAATACTCAACGTTCCCTGAGAAAGAGAGAGAGAGAGAGAGAGAGAGAGAGAGAGAGAGAGAGAGAGAGAGCAAAAGAGATTACGAAGACTGTAAGCTCAATTCGAGACATAAAAGCTGGGCCATAAAAACACAGAAGCCTTGGATTTAGAACGTAAGCCAGTTGGCCCAGTATTTGCTGGGGCCCTGGTTTTGGTACCCAACAGGACAGAAACTGAGTGTGGTGGTACACACCTGCAATCTCATACATGGGAAGTAGAGGCAGGAAGGTCAGGAGATCAAAAGGCACCCTGAGGCAGGGAGATGGCCCAACAGGTAAGCCTGCTGACTTGGGTTCAACTCAAGTAACCCGTGGTAGGAGAGAAGCGACTTCTGAAAGTTCCCTTTAACCTCCATCAGTGTGCTGTGCTATGTCTATGCTTGAGTGTACACACACAAAGACAGAATATGTGTCTCTCTACATGTCAACTTCATTCGAGGCGGGTTGAGGAGATGGCTCAGTGAGTACAGGTGCCAGTCTCCATGGCTGACAACCTCAGTTCCATCCCCAGAACCCATGTCATGAAAGGAGAGAATGGATTTCCTCAAGTTGTCCTCTGACCGCCCAACCCATGACACAGTGTTCAGGCCACACCCAACCCTCTAAATAAATGTAATTGAAAGGAATTTTCAAGTACAACACTAATCAACAGGTCTCCTCTGAACCTAAACCTGTTTTCCATGTATGAGTCACTCGTCCTACATTTCCATTGATCATGTGTTCCCACTTAAAATATAAATGAAGGTTTCAAGAGCTAATAACTGGCCGTCACCGGACCAGGAAAACACAAACTGAACAGGCTTTCATATTGCTTCATGTTTTTGAAGACCACAGTGGAATACAGAAATAAGCTATGCAATGGGAAATTGACAGACCAGGAGGGCATCGAGGAGCACTATGGTCCAGTAGTTCTTTATTAAAAGAGCAAGATCAACTATCACTGTCTCCCAAGAATTTAAACTTTAAAACAGATGATCCATCATTACTAATCTCTGTAGGACCAATCAGTTACAAGTCTTAACCAGCTAAAGTAATCATAATTTTGCAAAGCTTCTTTTTCCTATTAACATTATTACAAGGCCAGGTTGGTAGTGCTTGCCTGTAATTGCAGTACATAGGAGAGTCAGAAATTCAAGTTTATTCTCAGCTATCCTGGGCTTCAAGAGAACCTGTCTCAAAAAACACCCCTACTAAATATGTAGGTATCCCCCTTTTCATACCCTACGTGATGGAAAAAAAAAAAAAAAAAAAAAAAAAAAAAAAGGACAGGCCTGGTGGTTGATGACTGCAGTTCCAGCATGTAGGACTGCTGTGAAGTGGAGGCCAGTGTGGAAGAAGGATTGAAGTCCTAGCTCAACATAAGGAAAGGCTGGCCAGTCACATTGGCGCACACCTTGAATGCCAGCACTCGGGAGGCAGGGAAAGGAGGGCAGTTTGAGACCATCCAGAACCACATAGTGAGACCAACTAACTAAAAAGGACATCAGTTTATAGCATGTTTGACACTTTAGTAATGAATGAAACAAACCCACTACATCACATGTATCAGAGTAGTTGAGCTTAGATAAGAAGGAAAAAGGGGGCTGGAGAGATGACTCAGTGGTTAAGAGCACTTGGCTGCTCTTCCAGAGGACCTGGGTTCAATTCCCAGCACCCATGTTGTAGCTCACAACTGTCTGTAACTCCAGTTCCAGGGGATGTGACATCCTCATGCCAATGCACATAAAATTAAATAAATTAAAAGAAAAAAAAATTCAAAGTGAATGGTGTTGCAATCATCTAATTTACATCTAAGAATCCTAACTATTTTGAGAAAGGTCTCTATGTAGCTTTCACTGTCTTGGCACTCATCATGTAGACCAGTCTGTCCTTGAACTCCAGAGATTTGCCCACTTCTGCCTCCCAAGTGCTAGAATAAAGGGAGTGTGCCACCATGTGTGGCTACATCTAAGGATTGTGTTCACTCATTTGCTAAGAATCTTCAGTCTTCTCTGGTCACACTGTCTGGCCTCTGTGGAAGCCTTGACCTTTCACACAGATGTCTAGGAACACAAGTCTCCCAATAACCCATTGCTCACTCACATTTGCAATTAGCTCCATGACACTGTTCTTCAGATAAACCTTCTCCAATCGAGACATGCTGTTCCATCGGAACCTGACCACCGAAACAAAATCGACAAAACCACGTCAGAAGTCTTTTCTTCATAAGAAAATGTTTCCTGCTTTACAGTTTGCTGGAAGTTTCATTAAGAAATTATAATTGGCAGGGCGGTGGTGACACACCCTTTAGTCCCAGCACTTGGGAGGCAGAGGCAGGCAGATCTCCGTGAGTTCGAGCCTAGCCTGGTCTATAGAGGGAGTTCCAGGACAGCCAGGACTGTTACACAGAGAAACCCTGTCTTGAAAAAACCTAAAAACAGAGACTGAATTATACTTTTGGCCAGAACAGCCAAGGCTTCATAGAGAGACTCTGTCTCAAAACAAACAAACAAAAAACAAAAAACCATACACTTTTGAGGCTAAGAGGCATCTCAGTGGCTAAGAAGACTTGGGTTTAGTTCCCAGCACCCATGTTGGGCAGCACACAAACACCTGTAAGCTCCACAACAATCATGTCTCTGTATCTGCACTCATAAGCACACACCCACACAAGTACACATTACTTTAAAATAATAAAATCTTAAAAGCATTCTTGGTGCTTGAAAGATGGCCCAATGGTTAAGAGTACTTGCTGCTCTTGCTGAGGACCTGAGGTTAGGTGCCAGCACCCACATGGCAGCTCTGATCACCATCTGTAACTCCAGTTCCAGGGGATGCAGCACCCTCTTCTGGCCTCTGTGGGTACCAGGCATGTACATGGTGCACACACATAAAATAACTAAGTTGATCTATTTAAAAATTCTACTGTTGATTCTGTACTCTTCAGAGAACGGACAAAAAAACCAGAACATTAACAACAGAAAAATTTTTGAGATGCTTTTGTGCATTAATTAGCATTTACACAGGATTTATGTCATAAATCAGCTTTTCTCTTTGATTCTGTTGCTAGCCCAAAGGCAAATATCCATCTAGCCATCTACAATATCCATGCTTTTCAAGAACAAAAATGTTTTTCTGTTTCTTTTTTAAAATTTGTTCTCTTGATACAAAGTTTCGCACTGTAGCCCTCTATCCTGAAACTGTGTAGCTTATGTGGGCCTGAATTTGTCACAGTTTTCCTGCTTCAGTTTCTCAGTGCTATAAGCATTGCAAATGTAAGCCACCATGCCTGGCTTGTTGGATGCTTAACATGTGCAACACACTTTACATAAATGACTTAACTGGATGAAAAGTAAGAATCCTGAGCTCTGTTCTTTCCTGTCAATGGAAAAGCACCTGTGTAGGTCATGAAAGGGTTTTAGAGTTGCTCTCTTCAGCAGACTGCAGTGGCCAAGAGCTCCTTACTTGACAACATGTTCCAGAATCTGAAGGCCAAAATGTCTGACGATGGCAATCTGTGTTATTTCAGCCAGCCTCAAGCCACACGGGACACAGATAGGGCACTTTTCTTTAAACTCTTCACAAAACTGGAAAGAAGAAAAGTTAATATTTCCATGGGGAAACATGAGAGAATGGAGACTAGAAGCTCTAAGAAAATTCCAACCTTAGCTGATTGTGTGCAAGTTACTGGGCACTGAACATTCTGTGTGCTAGGCTCCACCACTAAACTGTATCCGTAGCTTTCTCTCTCTTTGGTGTATGTATGCAATGTCCTCATGTATGTGCACACACATGTAGCTGGGCAAGGAAATGAAAGCCAGAGACTGAAGCTGAATGTCTTTATCTCTCAGCTGTTTGGAGAACCTGGAATGTGATTTGGCTAGACTGGCTAGCTAGCAAATTCAAGGATGTGCTAGTCTCTTCCACAGGTATGCTTGCATAGCACCCAGGCATAACACCCACTTCACCTTCTAAGCCATCTGGCTACTTTTTGATAGAGGGTCTCCCTAAATTTCTTGGACTAGTCTTTAACGTTTCCTGCCTTAATCTCCCGAGTATCCTGGATCATAGGATTGTGCCACTAGGCCTCTCTTTTTAAGTTGCAAATTCTAGATTAGTATTACTAATCCACTTTGACAGTAAACAAGTTAACACTAAAAAGTAGATCTAAAAGGGTGGAAAATGTGTTAGCGATATATCCATACAGGTGGAATGTCAACCCCTAGAAATGGCTTTAAAAACTCTGGGTGACAAGAAAAGACTGTAAACAAGCCAATGTGTGTGTCGTCTGAGTTTCGGTCACAGGCCTATTCAGGATCACCAGTATTCTATTTCTGTGCCTGTGTAAACTCTTCACAATAAAATAAACAAGGAAAACACAGCTGTTTGACTCCAAACCCTGTATGACATACATCTGTATGACGGTGCCCACTCTGTTGCAGGTATTAGTATTCCCAAACAGCAAAACCTGAGCTAGACCTTGGGGCAGAGCACCTGGGACTCAAGAAAACTATTTCCAGGAAATCAAAGTACCCCTGTGAAAATGCAAAGCTAGCGGTCAACTCCTCCTTGCGCAAAAATAGCCGAATATCTCACATCTACAAACATGGGAGGAGTATTACAAACTGGCCAGAGATGCCCGAGACTGGAAGCATGTAAGGATGTAAGAAAGGGGATACTCGGGGATCTGAAATCAGCACAAGTCTGGAATGGATCAGCAGGCAAGAATGAGGGTGTCACTGGGGGCATAATTTGCACGTGCGCTCCCAGAACGCCAAGCAATGTGGGGTTTGCCCGGGCGTCAGAACGAGCGCAGCATAAGGTAGTGGAGATCATGGTGTGGTCTCGAGTGAAAAGAAGTGAGGAGTGGCCAGAAAGGCCACTGAGATATGACTAGGGAATACGCAGCAGTTAGGGATCCTCGAGTGCGCGGTAAAGACAGGCGCGCAAGCAAGAGAAGACCCAAGTGGGACGAGGTGAGGAGGGCCGCGCGATCAGAAGACGCCGTCCCCACCGGGAGTGGGAGGTCCACGGGCCGCACAGGCGGGAGACAAACTGAGTCTGCAAAGGACGCAGGGGAAGCCTGGGATAGGGGTCTCGGGGCCGGCCCAGGGCGCCAGGACCCCAGCTACCTTGAGGGCTTCCAGCCGGTAGCGCTGGGTGGAGCTGGGGTCCATCATGACCGTCACCGCTTTCACTAGCTCCTCGCACAGCGCGTTCACTTGCTCCATCTCCATGGCTAGAGCCGAGAACAGCACCGCCGTCCCGGGAGCACGAGGCGCACACGGCTCCCCTGGCGGGACCACACGTTGATACCAGGCCGCGGCGGGCTGGGGGCGGGGAACCGGAGGAGGAGCGTGAGCACCAGAGGCTGGAGCTGGGGCGAACCCAGCGCTGCGCACGCGCCGGACCCGCCACCGCGCATGCGCGCCCGGAAGTGGCGGCTCAGGGCGCCGGCCGTGCCTGGCTGGGCGGGGCGGGGCACGGAAGTTCCGCGGTGCGCAGGCGCGTCAACCGTCCCCCGCGGCGCGCGCGGGGCTGGACTCTGCCTGGGCTTGCAGCGGGGCGCAGACTGTCAGGTTGTGCGCGCTGTTGCTCTGCGGGATCCTGGGGCTACCCGCCCTGTTCTCCGTCGTCACGGCATTAAGTCTCTCTCGGATCCACTGACCTGCTCCCGGGAAGGCGACGAGATTGTCTAGACGCTGTCATTTTCCCTCCAGTGCAGTCAGCCGCGGCATCGCTCGCTCTTGGCAGTTTTGACAGGCGTTGGCCGCCAGGGTAAGAACTTTAAAACACGGGCGGGAATCGCTGTGTGGGATTGGCTGTTGGTTTTACTTGTGAAAGACCCCCACTATGCATATTGCCTGCTTGAGCTGCTCTTGCCGGGGTCAAGTTATGGGAAAGTACATGTGGGAACCAGATGTTCTCATCTGACGGCAACCACAGGATATATGTGGTCTACAGCTTGAGCCAAAACAAGGTCAGCAGAACAATATCAGGGAACAGAAGCCCGCCTTTTGCTGCCCAAACCCTATATAATCCCCTGAAATTCTGGCCTGGGCGCGCTCAGTCTCCCGAAAGACTGAAGCATCCACAGGTACCTGTGTGAGCAATAAATAGCCTCTTGCGCTTGCATCCAGTGGTCTCTGTCTCGTCTCTCGGAGCAGGGAGTCCTCTTGGATGACCCAAGATCACCGGGGTCTTTCACTTGGAGTGACTGAGGGTACACTGGGACGAAATGGAAACATGCTGGGGGTGGGCAGGGGAGGGGACAGCCCTCAAACTCTCAAGAGATAGAATCATTTTCTTGTAACTTAAGCCTTCCTCTGTACATACTTTCTTGCGTGTGTTACTACACGACCCACTCCAAATGTGTTTTGTACAGAATGGAATAAACCGAAATATTTTAAAACGCCTCCCGCTACGCCTCTGGGAGCCTGAGGTAGTAGGATTGCTTCGGGTTTGAGGACAGCCTGATCTACAGTGAGACCCTGCTTCAAAAACAAAACCCTAAAAAGGGGTGGGGGGTAAACTCAATGTAATCCTTCGGAAGCAAAGTTTCAGCACTGCGTTACTTTTTACAGCGATACATCCATTAAATACAAAACGAATACATAATCTGAAAGGCTTAACAGCTTCATTATTGTCATCTTGTGTATGTTTTATGAGGTGTTTTTTTCTACTTAGTAAAATGTTTGCTGCCCTTAAATCACAGCTTCTTGTTTTACCTCTGATATTTATAGTCCCTGTATTGATTGTGACATCGTACTTGCCATTTTTTGGCTTTATTTGTTTCAGGATAACAGAAAATCCTTTTCAAAACAAAGGGATGCCTGACTTAAGGGTTTTTAACCTAAGATCACTTTGTTTTAGGTGTGGTTAGTTGGACGTTTAGGAGTTAATGCTTTGAACATTGAGATTTAAATGTTTTTTTTTTTTCTTTACACTAATACTGTGGTTGTTGTTTGGCACAGTTTTCAAGGTGAATGTTCATTTGAAAAATGTAAGTTACAGTTAGGTGCTCACTCAACTGTATAACCTGTTTCTTGTATTTAAGTCATGAATTTCCTGTGTTTCTCTGAAAGTATTGTTTATGATAGGCCGCTGGCATGCAAAGCTTCTGCATACCGGGATTGTCTTGAGAACCTTTAAAAGGCATGATGCCATGGCAATGATGGCATGTACTTGTCCTTCCTTCCTTCCTTCCTTCCTTCCTTCCTTCCTTCCTTCCTTCCTTCCTCTCTCTCCCTTCTTTTTCACATTCCAATGCCAGTCCCTCCTTCCTCTTCTCCCACTCTCTCCTCCTGCCCCCTCATCCCACCTCCCTTCTGCTCCTCAGGGAGGGTAAAGCCTTCCCTGAGCTGTCAACTAAGTCTGTCCCATCACCTAATGAGGCAGGAGCAAGGTGCTCCCCCTTCCCCAAGTCCAGACTGAGCAAGGTATCTATTCATAGAGAATGGGCTCCACAAAGTCAGTTTATGCATAATAGTTAGAGCTTAGTCCCACTGCCAGTGGCTTATTATACTGCCCAAGCCATACTGTTGTCACCTGCATTCAGGTGTCCTTGTTCAGTCCTATACTGGTTCCTCAGTTGGGGGTCAGTGATCTCTCACTATATATACAGGAGGGCTACTGAATTTTTTTTTTTTTTTTTTTTTTTTTGATAATCTTGTATCCTGCTACATTCCTGAAGGTGTATATCAGTTGTAGGAGTTACCTGATAGAATATTTGGGGTAACTTATATATACTATCATATCACCTGCAAATAGCAAAGTTTGACTTTTTTCCTTTCCCATTTGTATACCCTTGATCTCCTTTTGTTGTCTTGTTGCTCTAGTTAGGACTTCAAGTACGATATTGAATAGATATGGAGTGGACAGCCTTGTCTTGTTCCTGATGTTGGTGGGATTGTTTTTAGTTTCTCTTCATTTAGTTTGATGTAGGCTGTTGGCTCGCTGTGTGTTGCCTTTATTATATTAAAATGTTCCTGTTATCCCTGACCTCTCCAAGACCTTTATCATGAAGGGATGTTGGATTTTGGCAAAGGCTTTTTCAGCATTTAATGCGATGATCATGTGTTTTTTTTTTCTTTCAGTTTGCTTATATGATGAATTACATTAATGGATTTTTATATGTTGAACCATCTCTGAGATGAAGCCTACTTGAACATAGTGGATGTTTCTAATGTGTCCTTGGATTCAGTTTGCCAAATATTGAGTATTTTTGCATCAATGTTCATGAGGGATATTGGTCTGTAGTTTTCTTTCTTAGTTGTGTCTTTGTGTGGCTTGGGTATCAGGGTAACTGTAGCCTCATAAAAAGAGTTTGGCAATGTTTTTTCTGTTTCTATCGCGTGGAACAATTTGGGAAGTATTGGTATTAGCTCTTCTTTAAAATTCTTGTAGAAATGTATGCTGAATATGGTCCTCGCTCTACTTTTTTTTTTGGTTGGGAGCCTTTTGATGACTGTTCTATTTTTCTTAGGGTTTATAGTTCTATTTTATTTTAATCTGGTTTTGATTTAATTTTGGTATGTGGTACTTATCCAGAAAATTGTCCATCTTCTTAAAGTTATCCAATTTTGTGGAGTACAGATTTTTGAAGTATGACCTGATGATTCTCTGGATTTCCTATGTCTCTTTCTTTCTTTCTTCCTTCCTTCCTTCCTTCCTTCCTTCCTTCCTTCCTTCCTTTCTTTCTTTTCTTTTTTGAGACAGGGTTCCTCTGTCCTGGCACTCGCTCTGTAGACTAGGCTGACCTCGAACTCACAGAGATCCTGCCTCTGCTTCTCAAGTACTGGAATTAAAGGCGTGTGCCGTCACCACCTGGCCTTTGTTTCTGTTTTATTGATTTCAGCCCTCAATTTGATTATTCCCAGCCATCTACTCCTCCTGGGTGAGCGTTCCTTTTTGTCCTGGAGCTTTCAGTTTTCTGTGAACTCATTAGTGTGGGATCTCTCCAGCCCCTCTATGTGGGCATTGAGTGCTGTGAACTCCCCTCTTAGCACTGCTCTCTGTGTGTCCGGTACGTTTATGTTATGTTGTGCTGGCGTTTCCTTTGAATTTTAGGAAGTCTTGAATTTCTTTATTTCTTCCTGACCCAGTGGTGATTCAATCTTGCATTGTTCAATGTCCATGTGTTTATGGGCTTTCTGAAATTAGTGTTGCTGTTGAATTCTAGCTTTAAGCCATGGTGATCTGATAAGATACACAGGGTTATTCCAATTTTTGTGTATCTGTTGAGTGATGTGGGATAATGCTCTTGTTCACTGTAAAGATTTGTCACTCCTATTGGTTTAATAAAACGCTGATTGGCCAGTAGCCCAGGCAAGAAATACACATAGGGCTATCAGGCTAGGAGAATTCTGGAAAGAGGAAGCCGCCACAGCCACACACAGATGAAGTAAGATGAGAATGCCTTACCGAGAAAAGGTACCATGCCACATGGCTAAACATATGTAAGAATTATGGGTTAAGTTGTAAGTTTGTTAGTAATAAGCCTGAACAATGGGCCAAACAGTTTACAATTAATCTAAGCTTCTGTGTGTTTATTTGGTACTGAAAGGCGATAGGATGGGCAGAACAGAAACTTCCATCTGTAGTTGAGGTTTGCTTTGTTACCAAGTATGTGTTCAATGAAGGTTCCATGAAGTGCTGAGAAGAAGGTATAGTCTTTTGTGTTTGGGTAAAATATTCTATAGATGTTTGCTGAGTCCATTTGAGTCATAACCTCTGTTGGTTCCCTTATTTCTCTGTTAAGCTTGCGTCTGTCAGACCTGTCCAGTGGTGAGTGTGGTGTTGAAGTCTCTCACTGTTAGTGTTGGGGCCTTGATGTATGACTTAAGCTTTAGTAATGTTTCTTTTACAAACGTGGGCACCCTTGTGTTTGGGGCATAGATGTTCAGAATTGAGATTTCCTGTTGCTGGACTTTTTCCTGTGATGAATATGAAATGGCCTTCTTTATCTCTTTTGGTTGATTTTGGTTTGAAGTCTATTTTTTTTAGATATTAGGTTAGCTACACCCACTTGTTTCTTAGGATCATTTGATTGGAGAATTTTTTCCCAACCCTTTACTCTGAGATAGTGTCCATCTTTGAGGTTGAGGAGTGTTTCTTGAATGCAGCAGAAGGATGGATTCTGTGTTCCTATCCAACCTGTGTCTTTTTATAGGTGAATTGAGTCCATTTACATTAAGGGATATTAATGACCAGTGATTGCTAGTTTTTGTTGTTGTTGTTAATTGTGTGTGTGTTTCCCTTCTTTGGTCTTTGTTGCTGTGAGATCATCTATCTATTAGATGCCGGTGTTTTAGTGAAAGTTGATTTCCGTGGGTGAGAGTTTTCTTTCCTTTTAATACTTTCTGTGGAGCTGGGTTTGTAGATAGGTATTGTTTAAATTTGGTTTTATCATGGAATATCTTGTTTTCTCCATCTATGGTGATTAAAAGTTTTGCTGGGTATATTATTCTGGGCTGGCATCTGTGGTCTCTTAGTGTTTGTATAATGCCTGACCAGGGCCTTCTGGCTTTCATTGTTTCTCTTGAGAAGTCTGATGTTATTCTGATGGGTCTGCCTTTGTATGTTACTTGGCCTTTTTCTTTGCAGCTCTTAATAATCTTTCTTTATTCTGTGCATTTTATGTTTTGACTATTATGTAGTGAGGGAACTTTTTTTGGGGGGTACAGTCTATTTGGTGTTCTGTAGGCTTGATCTTAATAGGCATTTCCTTCTTTAGGTTGGGAAAGTTTTCTTCTGTGGTTTTGTTGATTATATTTTCTGTGTCTTTGAACTGGACGTCTCCTTCCTCTTTCCCTATTATTCTTAGGTTTTTGTCTTTTCATGGTGTCCCATATTTCCTGGATTTTGTGTTAAGAATTTTTCAGGTTTTCTTTGACTGATGAATCATATCTTCAACGCCTGAGATTCTCTCTTCCATCTCTTGTATTCTGTTGTTTATGCTTGCATTTGTGGTCCCTGATCTTGGACTTGTTTGATTGTTTTTTCTTGGTTTTCTTGGCTTTCTTTAAGGGATATACTGATTTCCCCCCCCCCCCAATTTTTTTTGTTTTTCTTTTCCTTCATATCTTTAAGGGGGATTTTCATTTCCTCTTGCTGGCGGGATGCGGACAGGAGAGCAACCGGGGGAACTTGCTGGTGTTCATCTGTCTAGGTTGTAAGTTATTTCTCCCTGAATAAACATCTGTTTGGCCTATTTGTTTATCCTGACCCTTATTTAACCGCAGTAGTCTCAAACATAAAGTTATTTTAAGATGCTTTCCTTCTGCTTCATCTGCGTTGGGATGTTCAGGTCTTGCTGTTGCAGCACCAGTAGCTTCTGGTGGTGCTGTATTGCTCTTTATGTTGTTGAGTGTACTCCTACCTTGCTGTCTACCCATCTCTTCCTGCAATCAGTGTATGTGAAGCCTGTGCTGCAGGGGGTCCCTCTTCCTGCTATTGATGGAGTTGGAGGCTGTGGCTCTGGTGATGGCTCCTCAGGGTGGAAGCAGGTCCCAGGCTCAGATGTTCACTCCTGGAGGTACAGATGGGACCACAGTTCCGGTGACTGATCCTCCAGGTGGAGGCAGAGTCAGTTCTGGTGATTGCTCCTCCAGGTAAATGTGGGGCTGAGGTTCTGGTGGTCACTGCAGCAGCAGGTATCTCTTACTGAGAAATGTCAGTGGATGCTGGCTGGAACACAGGTTCTCTTTCTCAGAGGAACTTCTTTCCCCACTGCTGGAAGCTCGCTGCTCCCTGAGGCTCAGGCCTCTCTCTTGGCATGTACTAGTAACCTCAGCATTTAGCAGGAGGATCAAAGAGTTCTAGATCATTTGCAGCTACAAAGCAAGTTTTGAGGTCAATTTGGCTACATGACACTGTCTTTTAAAAATAAAGGGGGAAAGAAATAAATAAAAGAACTACTCCAAACAAAAAAAGAAATTGCACAAATAAGAAATCATTGAACATCACAAAGTAGTCTATTGAAGGGTTCTTGGTTAATGAAAATTTGCAGAGAAACAGAGTATTTACATAGTATTATATTATTCTCTTCATTTATGTGTATTCTTCTTGAAACAGAATTCTTTGTATGTAGCTAAGGCTGGCCTTGAACTTAAAATCTTATTCCTTAGCCTCTTGAGTACTGGAATTATAGAAGTGTGCCACCATCTCTATATACACATGTCTTTTGAAAGTATTTCAAAATAAACAGTTTGCATGATGACAGTTGTAGCAAACACCTTTAGTCTAACCTGGTCTACATAGAATATATACTGTTTGGAATTAGAGTTGTGGTCTTGTTAGAGGAGCTGTGTAAGTGGAGTTTCCCTCTCCCAGCAGCTGCTTCACTAAAACCAGTCAGTCTTAATATTAATTATACATGCTTAGCCAATAGCTAAGGCTTGTTACTAGATAACTTACATTTAAATTAATTCTCTTCTCTCTCCCTCTCCCTCTCTCTCTCTCTTTCTCTCTCTCTCCCCCCCTTCCTCCCACCCTTCTCTTTCTTTCTTTTTCCATTTTGGTTTTTCGAGACAGGGTTCCTCTGTGTAGCTTTGGAGCCTGTCCTGGAACTAGCTCTGTATACCAGGCTGGCCTTGAACTCACAGAGATTCACCTACCTGTGCCTCCTCAGTGCAGTGCTGGGGTCAAAGGCATGCACCACCACCATCCAGCATAACACATATTTCTTATCTATGCTTTGCCTCATGGCTCATGCCTTGTTATCTCATTTTCTACACACATCCTGCCTCCTTGGTGTCTGGCTGGCATCTCCACTGATTTTGCCTTCTTCCCTGACTCATCTGTTTCTTATAGCCTGAATGCCTGAATAATAAAAACCCAGAGATAGATCCTGGGGTTCAAGATGAAGATCAGAAGAGCAAAGCAGCCAAGCCACTAGTGAGTTCTTACCTCTAGCAAGGCTGAGACCACAGAGGGGCAGGCGATCCTGTCCTCAGTGGGACAGCACACTGTAGTGCTCTCCACCAAACCTCAGACGGCCCTGAGACTGCACTGAGCCCCTGCCTTATAGTCCTCTCTGGTGCTGGGATTAAAGGGTGTCGTCTCTGGGATCAAAGGCATGAGCTCTGTTTCTCTTTTAGACTGATTCCCTCTCATGTAGCCCAGGGTGGCCTTGAACTCACAGAGATCCATCTGCCTCTCTCTGGAGTGCTGGGATTAAAGGTGTGGCCACCACTGCCTGTGCTCTGTGACTGACTAGTGGCTTAGTGTCTGTGTGGCTGACTGGTTAGTGGCTTAGCTGTGCACTCTGATCTTCAGGCAAGCTTTATTAGAACACAAACAAAATATCATTATAGTTTCTGGCTGTCCTGCCTATACTTCCTGCCTGGCTACTGGCCTGTCAGCATTTTATTAACCAATGAGAATAATACGTATTCACAGTGTTCACAGTGTACAGAAGAATCATCCCACAACAGAGCTGTGTCACTGGGGTGAGCTTTGAGGTTTCAAAAGTTCACACTAGGCTCTTTTCTCTCTGCCTGCAGATTAGGATGCAAAGCTCTCAGGTGCTGCTGCCTCATGCCTGTCTGCTTCCTGCCATGATGATCAGGGACTATCCCTCTACAACTCTAAGACATCTCCCAGTTAAATGCTTTTTTTTTTTTTTTTTTAAATAAAAAATTGCTTGGATCATGGTGTCCCTTCGTAGCAACAGAACAGTAACTAAGACAGGTAACTTTTGTTTATCTTTTGTGAAATATCTATTTCTAAGAACCAATAGCCAGGTGTACTGATGCATGCTTGTAATCCCACCACTTGGGAAGTAGAGGCAGGAGGATTAGGAATTCAAATAGATTCTGAGCCCAGTGAAACTGTATTTAAAGCTTTAACTATGTATTACCTTCATAAAATTGTACTAGCTTATTCCCCTGTGAGCAGTAAATGAAAATGCCTTTCATTCTTGTTATAGCTCATCCGTCAGAATATAGAAATATAGTTGTTATTGCTTTGAGACAGGATCCCACTGTGTAGACCTGAAGATCTGTCTGCCTCTGTGTGCTGAGTTCAAAGATATGTCCCTACCACACATGATAGAAATACAATGGGGGTCTTTTTGCTTTGTTTTTTATTTTAGATTAAGTATATTTCTGTTTATAAAATGTCTTCCAGAAATAAATGGCTACTGGGCAGGATCGAGTGGTTGCTCTTGTAGATATGGATTGTTTTTTTGTCCAAGTGGAACAACGACAAAATCCTTATTTGAGGAATAAACCTTGTGCAGTCGTACAGTACAAATCATGGAAAGGTGGTGGGTATGTATTATTGATAGCACTGTGTGTGTGTGTGTGTGTGTCTGTGTGTATGTGTTGTGCATGTGTATGCACATGTATCTGATTCAGCTAGGCTGGCTAGCCAGCAAGCCCCAGGGATCTACCTGTTTGTGCCTTCACAGACCTAGGATTAAAGGCATGCACTACTGTACCCAGCTTTTCCTGGGGGTCCCAACTCAGATCTGCTTGCTTGCATGGCAGACACTTTGCTGACTGAGCCGTCTCCCCAGCCCCTCTTAGTATTAAGAAATGTTTTGTGTGTGTGTTTTGTCCACATCTATGTCTGTGCACCACTTGCATACAGTACCCACAGAGGACAAAATAGAGTGTTGGATCTGCTGGGACTGGAGTTGATGATGGTTGTAAGCTACCATGTGGGTGCTGGGAATCAAACCTATGTAAAAAGAGCAACCAGTGCCCTTAGTCCTTAACCATCACCCCAGATGGAAACTCAGTGGTTCTATTCTAAGTCTTGTTTTTAAGATTTCTGAACTGCTGTGTCTGGGATTGAATAATAGCATCTGTGGTCACAAAATTTCTAATTTTATGTATTTATAGCATATTTCTGTTTGGTTTGTTGTTGTTTGATTTGAGATCATGTAATATTTTTGATTTTGTTTCCCCCCCCCCCAACTTTAGAATTATTGCAGTGAGTTATGAAGCACGTGCATTTGGGGTCACTAGAAACATGTGGGCAGACGATGCTAAGAAGTTATGTCCAGATCTTTTACTGGCACAAGTTCGTGAATCTCGTGGGAAAGCCAACCTCACCAAGTAAGCAAAAAACATTGTAAAGGAGCATAGAGGAGTTAGGAAGTGTTTTGTGGGTATGGGAGTGTGGCACAGTGGCAGAGCGGTTGCCTAGCATTCATTAGATCCTAGGTTCGCTACGAAGGACATTAAAAAAAAAAGCTACAAGTAATACTCATTACTTATAGCTTGTTGCTCCTTGCAGTGTACTCGATAAACTATTGTTCAAACAAATATGAAATATTTTTGTCAGCATCCTGTGTCTGAGTTAAATATTTAATGTGTACTTCAGTGACAATTTTATTAATTGCTTTTGACTTCTTGCCTTTAAGGAACCACTTGTTATTTTCCTTGTTTAAAAATCAACCATAATGAGTAGGTAAAGATGGCTCAGTGTTTAAAAGGAGGTACTGTTCTTGGAGAGGATCTGAGTTCGGTTCCCAGCACCTACCCTGGGCAGTTCACAGCTGCCTGTAGCCCCTGCTTCAGAGGGATCCAAGGACTCTGGCTCCTGAGAGTACTTGCATTCAGGGTCACATATTACACACTCACCCCATCCACATAATTTTAAAAATCAATAAAATCTTTTTTTTAAAAACTCTGTCAGGAGGTGGTGGTGCACACCTTTGATATCAGAACTCAGGAGGAAGAAGCAGGTGGATCTCTGTGAGATTGGGGCTAGTGTGGTCACAAAGCTAGTTCCTGGGCAGCCAGAACTGCTACACAGAAAAGTCCTGTCTCCAAAAACCAAACCAACCAACCAACCAAACAAACAAACAAACAAAAAATCGGTTATTATGGGGTTGGTGAGATGGCTCAGCAGGTAAAGGCACATACTACCAAGCCTAAGAACCCGAGTTTGTACCTGAGACCCATATGCTGGAAAGAGAAGCAACTCATGCAAGTTGTCCTCTGACACACATGCAAATGTGCACTTACACATGATGGATGGATGGATGATGGATAGATAGATAGATAGATAGATGATAGATAGATAGATAAATGATGGATGGATGATGGATAGATAGATGGATAGATAGATAGATAAATGATGGATAGATGGATGGATGATGGATAGATAGATAGATAGGTAGATAGATAGATAGATAAATGATGGATAGATGGATGGATGGATGGATGATGGATAGATAGATGATGGATGGATGATGGTAGATAGATGATTGATAGACAGACAACAGAATGAATGAATGAATATTTGTTATAATTGAACCTTCTTCTGGGCCAGTGAGGTGGCATTTGCCACTAAGCATGATCTGAGTTCAGTATGACACACATGGTAGGAGAGAACCAACTCCCAAAAGTTGTCCTGTTACCTACACACGCATACATGCATGTGCATCTACTGACACAAGCATGCTAAAAACATTTTAAACATACAACTGAATGGTCTAGAGAGATGGCTGCTCTTCCAGAGGACTGACCCAGGTTCAGTTCCCAGCACCAATATTGTGGCCACAGCTCTCTTTAACTCTAGTTTCAGGGAATCCAAAGACCTTTTCTGACTCTGCAGACACCAGACACACATGGTACATCTACACATAGAATGAAAGTAAATGTGTAGGCAGCAGGACACTCTGGAGAGTTTGCTCTGGTTAAGAGTACTTGACTTAGGGGCTGGAGAGATGGCTCAGAGGTTAAGAGCACTGGTTACTCTTCCAAAGGTCCGGAGTTCAATTCCCAGCAACCACATGGTGGCTCACAGCCATCTGTAATTGGGTCTGGTGCCCTCTTCTGGTGTTGAAGCAGACATGTAAGCAGAGCATTGTAAACACAATAAATAAAAGATTGCTTTAAAAAAAAAAAAAAAAAAAAAAAAAAAAAAAGTACTTGACTTAAGTAAAAGCCTTTAAAATTAACCTGGCAGTGGTGGCGCATTCCTTTAATCCCAGCACTCAGGAGGCCGAGGCAGGTGGATCTCTGTGAGTTCAAGGCCAGCCTGGCCTACAGATTGAGTTCCAGGACAGCCAGGGCCACATGTGTGAAGTTAGTAGTTTTTCCATGGAAAGTTGAGTCAAAACTGACATGTCAGTGGGATATCTAGAATTGTTAAGAAGAGGTAGGGAAAGAATTGAATAGACTCAAAGGAAATCACTTTATTGTTTTTCATTTTTCTTTTTGTTTGCAGTTCTGCAACTTTATTTGACATTAAGTGGGTTAGTTCTCATCCACACTGACTCCATTTTTGAATGTGGTAACAGGCACATAAGTTACCAGTATTTAGAGCTTATTTGGTGAGTCCTCGTCTTCATTACAGTTTCTGGACAAACATACACAAATATGATATGGAGCATTCCCTTGGCCCAGACAGCTTTACTGAACCTGGTGTCAGTGTGTACATCTGGAGGCCCCATCTCCTTCATTGCAAATTTCTGGATTTCTTGAGCACCTGAGGGGCATGCTTCGTGAGCTCATTCCGTGAATGCGCCTGTGAATGCTGATGGTGTACTCTTGGGCTACCTCCCCATTGATGACAGATGACCCTTCTTATTGCCACCCTTCTTTGTGGGAGTCATTTTCCTGAGCCCAATTTGAAAAGGACAGGGGCCACCTTATTTTCCTTATTTTTTAAATTTATTTTTATTTCATGTGCATTGATGTTTTGTCTGCAGGTATGTCTGTGTGAGGATGTCAGATCCCCTGGATCTGGAGTTACAGACAGTTGTAAGCTGCTGTGTGGGTGCTGGGAACTGAACATGGATCTTCTGGAAGAGCAGCCAGTGCTCTTAGCTGCTGAGCCATTTCTCCAGCCCCTGCTTTTTTAATTTTCTTTTTTTCCAGTTGAGCCTGTCTCTGCAAATTTGAGGTTAGCTCTAGAATCATAGACTTGTATGGAGGTAGGCACAAGCCCTAGTCATTATAACAGTCCTGTCTTAGTCAGTATTCTGTTGCTGTGACAGACACCATGACCATGGTGTCTTTAAAAAGAAAGCATTTAATTGTGGCTTAGACTTTCAGAGATTTATTAGACTTTTATCCTCATGGCAGAGAGTATGGCAGCATGCAGCTCAGAGTTCTATGTAGGATCCCAGAACAACAGGAAGAGGCAGAGACACTTGGTCTAGATTGAGCATTTGAAACCCCAAAGCTGACCCATAGTGACACACTTCTTCCAACAAGACCACACCTCCTAATCCCTGTCAAGTAGTGCCTCTCCCTCATGACCAAGCATTCAAATGTATGGACCTACGGGAGCATTCCTATCCAAACCACAAGTCCTTTCAAGGGAATAGCTCTGTTCACTCTTAAGATTATTTCTACGTAGGTGCCAGTACCTTAGACTAGTCTGGAAAGCCTATCTTTATAGTGTTTTGGTGTTTTGAATTTTGTTTTTATTTTGAGAGACGGGATATCATATATCCAAGGGCAAGCCTTGAATTCACTCTGTAACAGAGGATGACTAACTCCTGAACCTCTTTTCTCTACCTCTTAAGTGCTGGGATTACAGGCCTGCACTACCATGTTACGTTTTCGAAATGGTGGGAATAGAACCCAGGTTTTTAAGGATCTTAAGCAAATACTCTACACTGATCTACATCCCCAGCTCAAAAGAGGTTAAATAATTTAAATTCAACAACTGAGTAGAAGGCAGAAGATTCACATCTATTCAGATTCGAATATCTACATTCCCCACATTACCTGTGTTGTACTGTATGCTATAGACATCAGGCTTTGACTTGGGACTTGAAATATTTCTGAATTGACCTGTGAACTAAAGATACAGCTTTCTAGGAGTTGGTGGCACACACCTTTAATTAAGCTCAGCACTCAGGAAGCAGAGGAATCAGATATCAGTGAATGCAAGGCCAGCGTGGAGTTCCAGGACAGCCAGAGCTGTTACACAGAGAAACCCTGTCCTGAACCAGCCCCCCCCCCCCTCCAAAATCATCCAGATTGTTGTAGAAAACTAGCTATTTGGCTAGAAGAGCCATTTATGGCTTATCTTAGTTTGCTTTCTATTGTTGTGATAAACATTGCCCCAAAGCACCTTGGGAGCAAATGGTTTGTTTTGACTTGCATCCCAGGTCCATCACTGAGACAAAAGTCAGGGCAGGAACCTGGAGACAGGAACTGATAGAGACCATGAAAGATTGCAAGACCACGGCTTACTCTGCATCGTTCACTCAATTTGCTTTTTTGTTGTTTAATAAATTTTTGAGATTATAATTACATCATTTCCCCCTTTTTTTCCATCCAAATCTCCCTTGGACACACAACCCCCCCCCCTTCAAATTCCTAGCCTCTTTTTCTTTAATTGTTGTTACATATATATGCATATGTATATCCATATGTATGTGTGAATGTATGTATGTATGTGTAGGTAGGTAGATAGACCGACAGATACACGCAGTCTGTATTCAGTTTGTTTTTTTTTATGCAGCCTAGGATACCTACCTAGGAGTAACACTGCCCTCAGTGAACTGGGCCTTTCCACAGCAAACATTAATCAAAATAAATAAATAAATAAATGCCTCCTTGACATACCTACAGGCCAATCTGATAGAGACATTTTCTCAATTGAGGTTTCTCTTCCCCCATGTCTTAAATAAATCTATGATGAAATGGTATTCCTCTAAAGCAGGTGGGCTACCTTCCCAAACGTGTTACCAAATTCTAGGCACTTGTCTTCATAATTTGAATGATAGTATGTCCAGAGCGATTGGTTTACACTAGCCAAATACCACTGATTGCAATAGAAGTCCATAGTCAGTTTGTTAATTTGTAGTGAGAGTTGGTGTCATAAGATCTGTTCTGTTGATTGTGATATTCTCCCTAAGTATGTCTTGTTTAATGATAGACTCTGAAGCAAATGGTTTTTTGGTTGTATGTAAATGGCAAAGGGATAAGTGAACATAGTAGAATGTTTCATAATGCTAAATGATTTTATTTTTTGTTTTGTTTTGAGACAGGGTCTCTCTGTGTAGCCCTGGCTGTCCCAGAACTTGCTCTGTAGATCAGGCTGGCCTCCGACTCAGAGACTCACCTGCCTCTGCCTCCTGAGATCTGGGATTAAAGTTGTGTGTTCTTTTTCATTATGGGAAGAACAGCACAGGACTGACAGTCTCAAGGTTGTATCCATTTATGGCCTGCTTGTATGATCCTTATACTTAGGTACCGGGAAGCTAGTGTTGAAGTCATGGAGATAATGTCTCAGTTTGCTGTGATTGAACGTGCCAGCATTGATGAGGCTTATATAGATCTGACCAGTGCTGTGCAAGACAGACTTCAAAAGTTACAAGGTCAGCCTATCTCAGGAGACTTGTTACCAACCACTTACATTGAAGGGTTGCCCCGAGGCCCTCCAGTAGGAAAGAATATCCAGAAAGGTACTTGTATAGCAGCTTCCTGCTGCCTCCTGCTTTGGGAACCTGCTTTGCTTTTGCTTATGCTGATTCTTTTTAGAACATTACTTAAAATTATTGCCTGTATGTATCATGCAAACTCACATGAAAGGATATACAAATTCTCTTTATGTGAGTATATATATGCATGATGAGAAGCTGTGTAATTTGTATGAAAGTAAATTATCTCTTTAGATATATAACCATGTCATGGGCTTTTGAAACCTCAAAGCCTACCCCTAGGGGCACACCTCTTCCAACAAGGCCTTATCTCCTAATTCTTCTCAACAGTTGTACCAACTGGTGACCCAGAATTCAAATATGTGAGCCTCCGGGCTATTCTAATTAAACCCCCATAGCAAGTAAAGGCACGACCTCCCCGATGAATTCAGTCCCTGGGACCTGCATTGTGACAGCAAAGAACCCTGACTCCTGCGAGTTGTTCTTTGATCTCCACAAGTGTGCTTCAGTGCATACCCCTTCCCCCAACTATCAAATAAGTACCTCGTAATTGTTTTTAAATTAGTGGCTCAGTGATCAGGAGCACACACTGCTCTTGCAGAAGACCCACATTTGCTCACAACATCCACATCAGGCATCTTACAACTACCTGCAACTTCAGCTCCAAGGGATCCGATGCTCTCCTCTGGCCTCTCGAGAACACCTGCACTCACACAAAGTCTTATACACAGACACACAAGTATACATATAATTAAAAATAAATACTTCTTTAGAAGAGTTGAGGTGGTTTAAATAAGAAATAAAAGGTGAGTTAAAGCGGGATGAGTTATAATGAGATGGGAAATGGTTCTGAGGTGGGCTCTGTTGCCTGATGGCACAGAGGGAGATGGGGCAGGGTTAGGGAGCCAATGTTATTTAAATTTACAGAGTTTTATTAAGAACAGAGGGTAGTTTAGCCCAGCATTGTGGCACATGCCTGTAATCCCAGTCAGCTAGATCTCTGAGTTCAAGGTCAGCCTCTTCTACAGAGTGAGTTCCAGGACAGCCAGGGAGACCCAGAGAAACCCTGTCTGGAAAAACAAGAAGTGTAAAGACGAGCATTTGAGGGAACGCTATTTTAAATCATTGCTCCTGGGCTGGAAGTAGATCAGTGGTAGCATGTTTGAACCATGGGTTCTAGCCTCAGCACTGCTTGTCAACATAAAATATTTGTTACACGTTTATCACTCTAAGTTTTCTAAACCTATGTATGTAGGGCTGGTGAGATGTCCCCACAGGTAAAAAGGCCTGCTGCCCAACCTAACAACCTGGGTTTGGTCCCTTTGACCCATGTGTACATGGGCTCATGCAGACAAACATAAATAAAATAAATAAAATATAGCCATAAATGAAATGGTGCTGGAGAGATGGTTTAGTGCTTAAAAGCACTTGGTGTTCCTCTAGAGGACCCAAATTTGTTTTCCAGCATTCACATTGTGAGACAACCACAAACCCTCTTCTGGCCCCCAAAGTACCCACACACGTGGCACATACAGACACACACATAAATAAAAGTAAAGTCGAAAGCAAACCTGTGTATCTAAAGTACTCAACCCATTTTCACACTGAATGGTAAATATAGTCACGTGCTGCTAAGTGTCAGGCATAAGCTCTGGGAACAGTGATTTCATCATTGTGCAAATGCCATGTACTTGTAGGAAGCTAGGTCGTCTAGCCTACTAATGCCATATACCATCATATATGTAGTCTGCCCTTGAGAACATGTTAATGTGACTCATGACTGAAAAGAACTGTAAAAATGTCTAAATGTCACCTCAACTTTTTTCAGAGGAAATTCGAAAACAAGGCTTACTTGAGTGGCTGGGCTCTCTTCCGACTGCCGATGCCTCCTCTCCAGACCTACAGTTGACTGTGGGGGCGGTGATTGTGGAAGAAATGAGAGCGGCCATAGAGAGGAAGACTGGCTTCCAGTGCTCAGCTGGGATCTCACACAATAAGGTGAAGAAGGCTTTCTCACACTTCAAAGAGAAACATGGGTATCTTCAGTAAAGTACAGCAAGGATGGCGTTCGTGGGTATTTAAAACTCACGTCTAGAGCCTAGTGTGGTAGTGCATGTCTCTCTCTCCACCACTTGGGAGGCAGAAGCAGGAACATCAAGGGTCCAGACTTTAAAAGGGGGGCTGGCTGGAGAGGGCACTCAGAGGCTAAGAGCACTTGCTATTCTTTCGGAGGACATGGGTGGGTGCAGCTCCCACCACCGCATGGTAGCTCGCAACTGTGTAAATACAGCTCCAGGGCCCCCGAGGGCATGGCATGTACCTGCTGTACAGACATACATGTAATCAAAACGCCCACACACATGAAATATTTTTTTAATTGTTTAAAGTTTTGGGACCAGTGAGATGGCTCAGTGGGTAAAGGCACTTGCCACCAGGCTTAACGAACTGAGTTCTACCTAGAGCCCACATGGTGGGAGAAGAAAACCAGGCTGTCCTGTGACCTTCATATGTGCAATGCCCCATAACCGTAATTAATAAAAAAAAAAAAAACAGCTAAAATAAAATTCATACTGAGACTCATGAAAAACTTAAGTAATAAAGAACATTGCTTGACATGCCATAAATATTTCTTAAGCAACAATCTGAAAGCTGACAAAAGATATGTTTTCTTAATAATTGAACCATCCATATAACTATATAGAAAAGCTGAATCTTGGGGCTGGAGAGACGATCCTATGCTTAAGAGCACTGACTGTTCTTCCAGAGGCCCTCGGTTCAATTTCCAGCACCACAAGGCAGCTCACAGCTATCTGTAACTCCAGTTCCAAGAGATTCAACAACCCTCACACAGATACAAATATAGGCAAAAGAGCAATGCATATAAAAATAAATCATTTTAAAAGAAGTTATATTAGGCAGAGGCAGGCGGATCTCTGTGGGTTCGAGGCCATCCTGGTCTACAGAGCTAGTTCCAGGACAGGCTCCAAAACAGTACAGAGAAACCCTGTCTCACAAAACAAAACAAAAAAGGAAGTTATATTTAAAAAAAAAAAAAAAAAAAAAAAAAAAAAAGAGGTCAGGCAGGGGGGTAGTTCGAGGCCAGTCTGGTCTGCAAATCAAATTCCAGGACCAGAGCTGTTACACAGAGAAACTGTCTCAAAAAGTAAAAGAAAAACTGAGGTTTGAACTTTTATGTATTAGCCTATTTCTTTTATTTTTGCTTGTTGTATGTTTTTGTTATTTCATCTTGTATGCTTTAGCTTTTTGAGGCAGGGGTTCATGTAGCTCAGGCTAGCCTTAAACTTTTCTACCTCCCAAGTCCTGGGATTATAGGCATCTTCTACTATACTTAACTTTATTGTTTCTTTATATGGAATTGCCTGGATAGTTTATGCTTTTGTCTGTTTCTTGTTTGTATATGGATAAGTTTGGTATATGTCTGTGATGTGTGCATATGTGTATCATAATTTTATCACTCCTCTACTGTTCTCCTTTTAAAGCTAGTTCTAGGAGAGCCAAGGCTACACAGAGAAACCCTGTATTGAAAAACAAAAAAACAAAAACAAAATAAAAAAACCCAGAAAGGTCATAATCCTAACATAAAACTACATACAATAAGAACACTATTAAGTATTGTCCAGAAGAAAGGTAATACCATAAACAAAAAAATGAAACTATAACCAGCAAGAACAAGAGACACATTCTAAATGTCCACACCATAGGTAATTGGCAAATTACCAAATTGGCTTATTCCTGTCTTATCCTGAAGAATCCGAGCCTTGTACCGAGTACAAGTCTTTAGCTAAAATACAAGAGGATTAGAACTATAGTTATAGTTATAGTCTTCAACTCCATCAAAGACCTGAGAAGCAAAGTAATATTACCCGAGTAAGCAGAAAGTGCAAGCAAGCAACTTCTAAAACTCTAGAAATGTCAGAGACATTTGGCTGCCTGGACAGTCATCCAAAGTTTCTCTGTAATGTTGGACATACAACTTTGGCTGTAGGCCTAGAACATTTAACAGACCTTTTTCAGAAGCAGGAAAGTTTGAAAGACTGTCCTACTTTGCCTTGACAAGGTTCAGCAGTCACTTTTCCTTGTGTCCTGCTTGCCCAGATGCAGTACAGACAAGGGCAGTTCTTTGTCCAATAGGCAACAAGCGTCATATGGGGTGTCTTCGGTGCCCATCATTCTCTCAGGACTAGATTGGTGCTACTAGAAGCAGTTGTGTCTCATGTCAACACAATTCTAAGTTATTAAAATATTTGAACACCATAGTTTGTAGTCTTTGAATTGTTTAAAGATCACCTGTCTGTATGGAATACATCTTTGTGCATCTAGAAAAATGTATGATAAATGTGGGTGACTCTTAGCCTATAATTTTTTTTAGATGTTATTTATTTATTTGCATTCCAGTCCCACTTCCCCCTCCCTCCTTTCCTCTTGCTCTCCCCACTCCCTCCTCAACCTCTCATGTGCTCCTCAGAGTGGGTAAGGCCTTCCCTAGGAAGTCTATTAAGTCTGTCCTGTCATCTTGTTGAGGCAGGACCAAGGCCCTCCTCTCCCCCCACATCCGTTTCTAGGTAATCTCTCCATATAGAATGGGCTCCACAAAGTCAGTTTGTGCATTAGAGTTAGATTTTGAGCCCACTGCCAATGGCCTCAGATATTGTCCCAGTCACATCATTGTCACCTATATTCAGGAAGTCCAAGTCAGTCTTATGCACTTTCCTGAGTTGTCAGACCCTAGTTAGTCAGCTAGCTCGGGTCAGCTGATTCTGTGGGTTTCCCCATCATGGTCTGGACTCCTTTGTTAGTTGTGGATTTCTGCATCTGCTTCCATCTATTTCTAGAAGAGGGTTCTAGCTTCTCTGTGGAGGTGTAGTGTGTTCTGGGTATCTTTATGTCTGGTATCCAATTATGAGTGAGTACAAATTATATTTGTCTTTTCCTCACTCAGGAATTTTTTTTTTTTTTTTTTTTTTTTTTTTTTTTGTCTTTCTATTCATTTTGCACATGTTAGGATGTCATTGTTTCTTACCACTGAGAAGTACTCCATTATGTATACGTACCATATTTTCTTTATTCATTCTTCTGTTGAGAGACATCTAGGTTGTTTCCAAGTTCTGGCTATTACAAATAATGCTGCTATGAACATAGTTGAGGATTTGTCCTTGTGGTGTGGGTGTGCCCCTTTGGGTATATGCCCAACAGTGGTATTGCAGGGTCTTGAGGTAGGTTGATCCCTAATTTTCTGAGAAATTGCCAAACTGGTTTCCATAGTGCTATACAAGTTTGCATTCCCACCAGCAATGAAGGAGTGTTCCTCTTACTCCATCCACATCCTCTCCAGCATAAGCTATCATCAGTGTTTTCGATCTTAGCCATTCTGATCCGTGTAAGATGGTAAGATGCATTTCCCTGATGACTAAGGATGTTGAGCATTTCCTTAAGTGTCTTTCTGCCATTTGAGATTGCTATGTTGAGAATTCTCTGTTTAGATCTGTATCTCATTTTTTAATTGGATTATTTGGTAGTTTTGATGTCTAATTTTTTGAGTTCTTTGTATGTTTTGGAAATCAGCCCTCAAGTCAGATGTGGGGTTGGTAAAGATCTTTCCCATTCTGTAGGGAGCTGTATTGGCTGTGTCCTTTGCTTTACAGAAGCTTCTCAGTTTCAGGAGGTTCCATTTATTAATTGTTGCTCTCAGAGTCTGTATTGCTGAAGTGATCTGTGCTTATGCCTCCAAGGGTATTTGCCACTTAACCTGTAATTCTTAATAATCTATATAGCTTAAAGACTAAAGTTTCACAGTATAAAATCTGTAAACAGATAATACAGTAAAAGGACAATAACCTCAAAATTGTGACACTATACAAAAATATCTTAATTAGAGGTAGAAATGTATCGTGCGGAATGACAAAAGTACCCTTAATTTGCATCAATATATAAAGTATCCTAAACAGAAGTAGAAATATGCATACCGTATGATGAAAATAATCTTATATCCGTAACAATATGCAAAAATATTTTAAACAGGTGTAGAAATATATTTACAATATGACAAATATAAATTTGACTTTGTTCAATATACAGATTATCCTAAACAGGAATAGAAAACTAATTTTACATTTGTATCAATATATAAGAATCCATACCAATGCAAATTATCTAAAAGTGATGGTGCTTTTAATTTACAAGTAGATACAATAATCTACCTCATTGTCTTCTCCTATCTAATGTCTGATAGAGGCAAGCAGAGTGGCAAGGCTCATGCCAAGGCCAAGACCTCCTAGGCTGGCCTTCCTTTCCCCATGGGCCATGTGCACCAGCTCCTCCACAAGGCCAACTACCTAGAGCAGGTGGGCCCTGGCACCCTGGTATATCTGGTAGCCATGCTAGACTACCTGATGGCCAAGGCCCTGGAGCTGGCCGGCAATGCAGCAAGCAGACCCATGTCATTCAGCAGTTACAGAGTGCATCTTGCAGAGCATGAATTTCAAAAGATGGAGTTTGGGAGTGTAGCTACTGCACACAAGCACCCAGACACAAACCTGGTGGCGAGCCATGCACGGACTGGTTCTCAGGTGGCCATTGGGGTAGTTCCACTTTGGACGCCAGATTTATCTAGAAATCCACAGTTGCTTAGGAAAAAGACACACACACACACACACACACACACACACACACACACACACACACAAATACAATGGGAAACACCATTGCCTCTTCGTCCACCAGTGATGGATGAAAAAAGCTTCAGACCCAGTCACAAATTGGTACAACAAGAAGACTTCTATGTCCAAGCGAGCACTACTCAACCATCCCCCCCCCCACACTACCTTAGTTCTTAGCCAGTCTTGTATCAAAGAAAACTAGTCACCCCAAATGTCATTGGCTAAATGGATAGAGCTCCCACAACAGAGAGCAAACTTCTTTTTCCATGTCCTTTATCTGTGAGCTACAGGCAGAAGATGTGTCCCAAATTAAAGGTGGATCTTTCCACCTCAAGTGATTACAAGTGGTCTTGCCAGATGGTGGTGGCACAAGCTTTTTACTAATCCCAGCACTCGGGAGGCAGAGGCAGGCAGATCTCTGAGTTTGAGGCCAGACTGGTGTATAGACTTAAGTTCCAGGACTTCCAGGGTAACACAGAGAAACCTTGTCTTGAGGGGAGAAAAGGGGCAGAAGTCTTCCCACTTCAAATGATTAACTTTAAAAAAAAAAAAAAATCTTTACAGGTATACCGAGCCACTTGGGTTTTAGTTAATCCAGATATAGTCAAGTTGACAATGAAGAGTAACCATCACAGACCATGTCTCAAAGACAGAAAAAGAATCTATGTAAATGTATATTTATGTGGAGGGAGGTAAACTTTGTAAAATTGTCAATTTTCCGTATGTGTCAGTGTGTCGGCTGTCAAGGCCGTCCCTGAGCTCCTGGTTGTTCTGCATTCACTTCCAAATGTTGGCATTATAGGATCACACCACCATTCTTGGCCTATCTTAGCATTTTCATATTTACATGAATAAGAAGTGAATCTCACTTGAGTTTCTTCTGCTTTTTAAACCTATTGTGAGAAAAATCTCAAGTAGAAAAAAAAATGACTTGAGGAAAACTGAGACTAGAAGAGTGTTAGGCAGCAAAATGAGGAGAATGCTTTTCCAGAGGGTTCTGAGGGACAAGGGTCTGCGATGTGTCTCTGGTTATATTTGACTTTCATGTGGAAATTACTAGGATAGCCTTTAAGCTGTGTTTCTGTGTGTATGCGTGCTTTACTATTTTGCCAACTCTACATAGTTGCCTTGTTAATATTGATGATTTTATTGTCCTCTGTTTTCAGGTCCTGGCAAAACTCGCTTGTGGACTAAACAAGCCAAACCGCCAGACTCTGGTCTCACATGGGTCAGTCCCACAGCTCTTCAGCCAGATGCCAATTCGTAAAATGTAAGCATTCAGGGAGGACTTCCGTCTCATCATGTACATGCGAATGATCTCTGCTGGTAGTCTCTTGTGCCTCATAAAGGTTGAGACTCAGAGAAAATAGGTACCAGTCAGAGAGACAATACTTTATAAACTACATTTAGGCTTTTTTTCTAAATGAATTTTCAATTCAGGGCTATCCGTGGTATATCCGTAATCCTGAATTAAAAAACAAAACCTGCCAGGTAGCATTCAAGAGGCAGAGGCAGGAGACCAGCCTGGTTTACATATCAAGTTCCAAGACAGTCAGGGCTATGTAGAGAGACCCTGTCTCAAAACAACAATAACAAGAGAACCGAAAGCTAGACATGGTGGTATATGCCTGTAAACCCAGCACTAGAGAGACAGAGATGAGCAGGGTTATCATTCATGAATTTAAGGCCTACATCATGAATACCTGGTTACCCAGAGCTGCATAGCTGGAACCTACCCAAATAAAACTAAGGGGCTGGGAAGATAACTCACTGGGTACGAGCATGAGTTGCCCAGGTATGAGAACCAGAGTTCAGAATCCCTAGTATGCTCATAAAAAACCAGATGTAGTGTCATGTGCAGTCCTCTGTAACCTCAGTGCTGTGGAGGGAAGAGAGTGCCCTACAGCCCCTCAACTGTGGAGGGATGGAGACGGGGATTCTCAGGGCTTTGTTGGCTGCCACTAAGCTCCAAGAACAGTAAAAGCCTGTCACTAGCAAGTAATTCTGAGAATGATAGAACAGGACATCCTCAAGCCTCCACATGAGTACATCTATCACACATACCACATATAACCTGAGTTTTACCTCTATTCCTAACTTCCTTCTGTCTTTTTATCCATCTATTAAATATGTAACAAGTAAAATTTTTACTTTTGGCAGGGTGTTGAGACAAGGTCTCACTAAGCAGTCTAGGCTGGCCTCATGCTGGTGGTGTTCCTTGTGCCTCAGCCTCCTAAATACTAGGGTTAGGGTACAAGCTACTACATCCAGCTGGGATTGTACTTTACTATCAAATCGAAAGTTTTTGTGTGTTTGCTTATTGAAACAGGGTCTCACTCTAGAGTCCAAGCTAGCTTAGAATTCACTGTGTGTCGTCACCCCCCCCCCCCAGGCTCATTTGAAACTATTTAATCCCCTGTTTCAGCTTGGAATGCTGGCGATTACAGCTGGAAGCCACCATACCTGGCCTAGTCAAGGTTTTCAGATGAGCCAAATTGCTGTCCAGTGAGGCATGAACATAAAGCTGATCTGAGAAAGGTTAGGGACTGGAGGTGGGAGAGAGCCAGCCAATGGCAAAGCAGCATGGGGGGACATTGAGCAGAAAGAAGGGGAAAGTGATGTTCTCAGTGAGCCTAGGGAGACATGAAGTAGTCCACACTGACGAAGACGGTGATGCAGAGACATTGAGTGTACATTAAGGACAGATTGTGGGTTGCTTCAAAGGCAGCAGAGGAATATTGGCCATGGAAAAGATTTATTTTGGGTTTAGAATATTGGGTGGGGGGTTGTTTTGTTTTTTTGTTTTTGTTTTGTCTTTCAAGACAGGGTTTCTCTGTACCCTTGGCTGTTCTGGAACTCAGAGATCCACCTGTCTCTGTATCCTAAATCCTGGGATTAAAGACTTGTGATACCCCTGCCCTTCTTGTTTGTTTGGTTTTGGTTTTCCAAGACAGGGTCTCATGGGGCTCTGGCTGTCCTGGAACTCATTATGTAGACCAGGCTGGCCTCAAACTCACAGAGATCTGCCTGTCTCTGTCTCCCAGGTGCTGAGATTAAAAATGTATGCCACTATACCCAGCTGGGTTTGGAATTTTAATCTCCAAATGGGACAGTAGGTTTTAACAACTGAAAATTTAATATATAAGAACATGAAAAATGGAGGTTTTTTTTTTTTTTTTTTTTTTTTTTTTTTTTACATACAATTGATTTGGTAACAAATCAGTGATGAACAGTTATGCTCCTGTTCATCTTCCCAGCTGGGAGCTCAGCACTGAAAAAAGTTGCAAAGTCAGTTAATCAGGTCCCCGTGGCCGATCCCTCTAAAGTGGATTTGTCACATCCCTGGGTGGTTGGCAGGAACTGTCCATTTGAAGCCTGAGTATGTACTCTTAAAAAACTCTGTTTATTTTTGCAGTACTGGCAGCTGAGCCCAGGGCCGTGTCTTTGTTTTTCTGTGCATGCCTTATGTTGGCTCTTTTCTTGCGGAGGGTCCAGGGGTCAGACCCTAACGTCTCTGCACCTTTACTTGCTGAGCTCCCTAGCCCTCAGCTTTGTGCTGGAGTTGTCTGCCAGACTAAAACACTCCCATTTTTTCTGAATCTTTGGGAGGGCTGCTTGGAGCAGCAGAATGTCTTTGTTTTGGTTAACTGTATCTTTAAATGCGATTCCTTCCTATAAATTCCTTCTCTCCTCTGTTTAGCCGCAGTCTTGGAGGAAAGCTCGGGGCTTCTGTCATTAAGATCCTTGGGGTAGAATACATGGGTGAACTGACCCAGTTCACCGAATCCCAGCTACAGAGTCATTTTGGAGAGAAGAATGGGTAAGTGGTTTAAAACTTTTTTTTTTTTTTTAACTTTTTTTTTTTTTTTTCAAGACGGGGTTTCTCTGTGCAGCTGTGGCTATCCAGGAACTCAGAGATCACCTGCATCTGCCCCCAAGTACTGGGATTAAAGGCATGCGCCACCACACTTGCCTATAAGTGGTTCATAGTACTTTTCTTTCTTTTTTTTAATTTATTTTTGTTGTATGAGCATTGGTGTCTTGGCTGCATCTATGTCTATGTGAGGGTGTCAGGGCCCTTGTGGGTGCTGGGAATTGAACCTGGGACCTCCGGAAGAGCAACCAGTACTCTTTATCTCTCTGGCCCTGTTTATACTCTTTTTCAAACATAACCTTTATAGAGATGTTAAATTCAATACAGGTTAAAGCTTTTAGTAGACAGGGTCAGATAGCCAAGACCAGATTCAGACTTGGTATTGACCACAGGAAGCCTTGAAGTGCTGGTCCTCTTGTGGCCCTGTCCTAATTCTTAGAGGACAGACACACCAGCACACTCAGCCTGTCTGTTCTATGAATCATTTCAGGGGTCCGTCCTGGACAATATTAGTTCCCCCAGACAGTGGGCTGCAATCTTAGTAGCTGGGGGCCGAAGCACAAGTCTGAGATTTAAAAAAAGAAAGGCTGAGGAGATGATTCATTTGTGGGGCACTTTTGCTACAAGGCTTTTGGTTCTGTCCGCAGCACTGAAAAATCTAAAAGTCAGTTAGTCAGGTCCCCGTGGCCGATCCCTCTAAAGTGGTTTTGTCACATCCCTGGGTGGTTGGCAGGAACTGTCCATTTGAAGCCTGAGTATGTACTCTTAAACTCTGTTTATTTTTGCAGTACTGGCAGCTGAGCCCAGGGCCGTGCACATGCTAGGCAAGCACCCTACTGTGATGCTAGAGTCCCAGCTTCTTCCCTTTACTTTTTGTTCAAGTCTTACTAAGTTTTCCAGGCAGGCTTTGAACATGTAATTCTTCTGCCTCAAATGCCCACATCCCATGAATTTAAGATCTACACAACTAAGATAGTCCTGTTACATCATTTATGTTTGCTGTTTTGCTGAGGTTGCCTTCAAATCCTTGTGTCTTGGCCCTAGTAAGCACAAAAAGATGAACCGGCAGCTTATTTGTTGGTACTTTGCAAAAAAATACAAATAGTGACATAGCTTTAGAAAGTAGGGTTGGTTGTCCCCTTGCTAGTGTCTTACATTAGAACTATTTAAGAAGGGCAAGAGCGTCAGAACTTAGGTGTGCCTAATCTTAGATCTTTTATTTGTTTTATTTAAGACCGGGCTCAAATAACACAGAGCTTGAACTTCTTAACTCTTGCCTTCGCCTCACAAGTGCAGGGGATGGAGCCTAGGGCCTTGTGCATGCTAGGCATGTGCTCTGCCAGGGCTGTGTTCCCCAGCCTAGGCTGCGTACTGAAATGCTGTTTGTAAATTGACAAGAAACCAGGCAAGGTGGCTCTCACTTAAAACCCCAGCAAGATCACAATTCAAGGCCAGCTGCCTAAATAGTAAAGATCCTCTCTAGGAAGCAAATAAAAAACAAGGAGAATAATCGCGCTTTCATCGTAATATATTTTGCTGGTTTTACAGATCGTGGCTGTATGCCATGTGCCGAGGGATTGAACATGATCCAGTTAAACCCAGGCAGTTACCTAAAACTATTGGCTGTAGTAAGAACTTCCCAGGGAAAACGGCTCTGGCTACTCGGGAGCAGGTAAGCAGGCAAGCAGGCCTTCTCAGTGGAACACTGCCTCTCTTAAAGGAGATAGTGGGGGCTTGCTTTTTTTTAATGTTGAAATAACTAATTTAGTTTGTCATCTATTCCCCCTTCCCTTTCAATCTAAGAAAGGAATAAACTGAACCGGCTGGGATGGACAATAGAGTTTCTTGTCTTTTTTGTAGCTAGGAACTTCAAAAACCTGAAATATTGGGCCTCACTCAATTTGAGTTCTTCCTCAGAATTAGACCATGGTAGAATTTACCCATTGGCACCAGCAGGAAAAGTGAGGTGGGCTTGGGCCCCAGCACAGTAGAGCACACCTGTAATCCCAGCACACAGGACGCTGAGTCAGTTACCCTGAGAGCTGAGGCCAACCCGGGTTGTAATATTCTGCCTAAACAAATTATGTGTTGCACGTGTGTGTGGGGGGTGTGTGTGTACCTTTCCGTGCAGATGTAGACACCAGAGGAAGCGATCCGATGTCCTGCTCCTCCACGCTGCCTTACTCTGTGCCAGCAGCCAGCAAATCCCAGTGACCCTCGAGATCCTCGTCTCTGTCCTGCTAGTCTGGGTTATATGCTAGTCTGGTCCATATGCCTAAATTTTTATTGTGAGTGCTAGGAATTCATTTTCTTTATTTATTTATTTTAATTTTTCTTAAGTATGCAATATTCTGCCTGCACGCATGCCTGCAGATCTCATTATAGATGGTTGTGAGCCCCATGTGGTTGCTGGGAATTGAACTCAGGACCTCTGGAAGAGCAGCTAATGCTCTTAACCCCTAAGCCATCTCTCCAGCCCAGGAATTCATACTATTATCCTCCTTCTTACATAGCAGATGCTCTTACCTACTGAGTCATTTCCTTTTCCCGATAATTTAAAAACATTTTCTATTCTTGTTGCGATGAGTTTTCCCTATATAACCCAGGCTTAAACTCATGATCCTTCTGCCTCAGCCTCCAAAGTCTGGGATTACAGGTGTATATCACTGTGCCTGACTGAAAATCTTCAACTAGAGGAAAACAGAGTGCTGAGATCTTCATGATCTAGTTATAGAGATCCAACAGTGGACAAATTTACTGTCTGGTTCTATATATCTACTTAAATGAAAGATTAATTTCAGGGTTTTTTAATTGTTGTTATTTGTTGTTTGTTTGTTTGTTTTTTTTAAGGTACAGTGGTGGCTCTTGCAGTTAGCCCTGGAACTTGAGGAGAGACTAACCAAAGACCGAAATGATGTAAGATTTTCTTTTTCTATTAGTCTTTGGGATGTAAATGCCACATGCTACTTACTCTGTGGAGAAGGAACAGAGAAAAAAATAGCATCAGTCTAAGCAATTTTAAGGGAAGTTTGGCCAGACATGATAGTGCATGCTTTTAATCCCAGCACTAGGGAGTCAGAGGCTGGTAGATCTCTGAGTTCAAGGCCAGCCTGGTCTACACAGAGAAACCCTATCTCAAAACCAAAAAAAAAAAAAAAAAAAAAAAAAAAGTAGTCCAGGCTTAGCCTTAAACTTCCATCCCTCCTTCCTTAGGCTCCCAATTTCTAGAATTATAGGCATGAGTTACCAAGCTTGGCTGAGAATTCTTTTTATCTTCTTTTAACACAGGCCCATAAAGCAGAATATCCAGGGGCTGAGGTACAGTTTAGTTGGTAGAGTGCTCATTTAGCATGCTAGTTCTGAGTCTGATCCCTAGCACCCCCTGCAGGGGTTAAGGTCATCCCTGACAAAAAAAGACAAGGTAGTAATCAAACATCAGACATCTGACACTTTGTTTTTCTAAGTGTCTTTGTTTTGTTTTGAGATGGAATCTCACTAAGTAGCCTTGGCTGGGCTGAAACTCAGAGTGATCCACCTGCCTCTACCTCCCAAGTGCTCGGGTGGGTATGGTCTCCTCCCTGCCCCAATTATATATGCTTTATATTCATAAAGTACATCCAGCTAAAGTGTACAGTTCGGTAGTTTTAGCATTTTCCTGAGTTTGTATAACTCCAATTGGTTTTTATGTTTATTTGGAGGGTTTTGTTTTGTTTTGAGACAGGCTCTCCCTGTGTATACCTGGTTGGCCTTAATGTGACATATAGACTAGGCTGGCCCTGAACTTACAGAGATCTGTCTGCCTTTGCTTCCTGAGTGCTGGGACTACAGGCGTATGCCACCACACCCACACCCAGCTTTTCAGTCAGCTTAATATTTTTATGTACTTCCCAAATAAATTCTGTACTCATTAGCGGTCACTCTCCATTTCTTCCCTGTTCATCTGGAGGGAAGAGTACGGATTTTTTAGTATGATTTTTATTTCTTTAACCCAGTACAGTGCTGCACACCTTTCACCCCATACTAGTATGAGAGGCTAAAACTGAAGGATTGTGACCATTCCTTCGAAAAAGAAAGAGAGAGAGAAATGAAGGAAGGAAGGGAGGGAGGAAGGGAGAGTTCTGGACATTTCATATAACTGAAATCATGCAGTATATGGTTGTTTCAGCGGTCTTGAACAGTCTTTCAGTTAGTTTGCTCATATTATAGTGTGTGTGTCAGTGATTATTTCTTTTTAGGGTTGGATAAGAGTTATCAGTGAATGGTTATTTGGGTTGTTTCTACTTGGGGCCATTATCAGTAATGCTGCTATGAACATTGCCCATATTCATCCTAAGCACAATTACTGGGTCATATGGTAACTATGTTTAGCATTTTGAGAAATTTGGCAGATTGCTTTCTATAGTAGCTTATCATTCTATATCACTGCTAACAATGACAGACAGACACACACACACATGCATACATATGAGAACAGATGTCTGCAGAGGTCAGGAGAATATTGGATCCCTTGGGACTGGAGTTACAGGCAGTTGTGAGCCACTTGATGTGAACTCTGGTCCTAGGCAAGATTTATTGTCACTCTTTAACCACTGAGACAGCCCTTGAACTGACCTATTGTGATTTGTGTTTGCAACATTTTTCTTTTTTTATCAAGCACAAATATCTCCATGTTCAGGCCTATGCTGGTCTTCTCTGTATTTTCTCTGTATTCCAGTTTTAGTTTGCGTGGTACTAAATCTAATAGCTAAACATATTTTCATGTGGTTTTTTGTTTGTTTGGTTGGTTGGTTGGTTGGTTGGTTGGCTTTTGTTTCTGAGACAGGGTTTCTTTGTATAGTTCTGGCTGTCCTGGAACTCAGCTCTGTAGCCCAGGCTGGCTTTGACTCACAGAGATCTGCCTACCTCTGCATCTGGAATGCTGGGATTACAGGCATGTGCCATCACCGCCCAGCTATTTCCATGTGGTGTATTGGCCATTTATACATCTTCCTTCGAGAATTGTTAGGTTTTGCCCTTTTAATCCTAGTGCTGTGAGTGGCAGAGACAGAAGGACCACTGGGGGTTAGGGGCTGCCAGCCTAGAAAGGATAAAAGGCAAGCTAGACCCTGCCATAAGGGAGTAAGGCTGAGAGCACTGGAGGGAAACACTTCATGTCCTCCTCTAGCAGCCACATGAGTACATGCATGAGCATATGCACTCCTACACAGCACACACACACCTTAAAAAAATAAGATCACGAGGTTCTGAACTTCAGTTTTCTCTTGTATCTCTAGGCATACAAACATAACATCCAGTTGTAATTATAGAACTTTTCTTAACCAAAGTTCCTTTGTAATTTGTATTCTTTCAAGATGCAAACCTCTACAAATATGTTTTATAACCCCCCTCCCAATTGTGCTCTTGACTCATGTAGGTTTTGGATATTCTCCCTAGCATCTTTTGACTTTGAAAAGGAACCTTACACAGACTTTTCACCTTATACTCTGCATAGTGATCTTTATTTCCGTTTGCTGAGTGTAGCATTCAGACTGGAGTGGAGGCTTGCTGTCTGTAGAGGTGTTCTACAGTGTTTGCTGCAGATGGCTGGGAGAAGGAAGTGCTAGGACAAATCGGCTGTTTAAGAGCATCCAAGTAGAAAAGTAAGAGTGTGTCTCAGGTAGCCTCCAGCTCACTTGGAGAGAGCTTGGAACTTCGGCTTCTTCTCTGTCATGTACCACTATGCCTGGCTTATGCGTCCAAACTCAAGGCTTTACATATGCAGGCAAGCACTCTTCAGACTAAGCTAATCCCCAGTCCCTATCCTATATGCTTTAACATTCTGCAGTAATTCATCACCCAAATTCTACTATTTTTTTCTGCTTTTTTGCAGTGCTGGAATCAAATCTTTAAGATATCATATATGCTTCTTTTACATACATTATTTATTTTATCATGTTTTATGAATATTGGTACAAGGGTTTCAGATCCCCTGGAACTGGAGTTACAGACAGTTGTGAGCCACCATGTGGGTGCTGGGAATTCCAGGTCCGCTAGAAGAGCAGCCAGTGCTCTTTACCCCTGAGTCATCTCTGTGCTCATGTCACAAGCTTTTTTGTGAAATCCTGTAGTCATATTTTTATTCATAAATTTGATTATAGTCTGGGCTCTATTTTTTTTTTTTTTTTTTTTTTTTTTTTTTGTATCCCTTATGGTACTGGACCTATATGCTTAGTAGATGTTTAGTATGCATTTGTATTTTATATAAATAGGTACTAGAGTAGCCTCTTTTTTTTTCTTACTAAAATTTTTTTTTCTTAAAGAAAGGTCTGGGGCTAGAGAGATGGCTCAGTGGTTAGGAGCACTGGTTGCTTTTCCAGAGGTCCTGAGTTAATTTCCAGCAACCACATGGTGGCTGACAACCATCTGTAATGAGATCTGGTACCCACTTCTGGCCTGCAGGCACACATGCAGACAGAACATTGTACATAATAAATAAATGTAACAAAAGAAAAAAGAAAGGTCTTATTATGCAGTAAGTACTGGCTCACCTGGAACTTGCTATGTAGACCAGGATGATCCATCTGCCTCTGCCTCCGCAATGCTGGGATTAAAGAAGTACAACACTATGCTCTGCCCTATCGTTGGCTTTTAAATGGAATTTCCAAGCCATCCTGTTACCCTTCAGATGCTCTTAGTAACTATTTCTGGTCTCAATCCTTTCCTGTCCACAGAATGACAGGGTAGCCACTCAGTTGGCTGTCAGTATTCGTGTACAAGGAGACAAACGTCTTAGCAGCCTGCGCCGTTGCTGTGCCCTTACTCGCTATGATGCTCATAAGATGAGCCAGGATGCATTTGCTGCCATCAGGAATTGTAATACTTCTGGAATCCAAACTGAGTGGTGAGGCGCCTTTTTCAGTTTATTCTCTTAAAAAAAAAAAAAAAAAAAAAAAAAAGTTGTTTTGTTTTGTTTTTTTTGGTGGGAGAAGGTTCAAGAGAAGATTTCTCTGTGTAGCCAGACTCTGCCTTCCAAATGCTGGAATTAAAAGTGGGCCACCCCTGCCTGGCAATAGTTGGGATACTGAGGATTAAACCTGGGTCCTAGGTTTAATGCTAGGCAAGCGCTCTGCTAGTAAGCTACACCTTCAGATTCTTCATAAGGAAGAACTTTATGAAAACATAATGAGGTACTTTACAGCAAATGTCTTCAAATATTTCCCTTTTTTTTTTTTTTTTTGTTTTGGTTTTATTTTTCAAGACAGGATCTCTCTGTATAACCTCTGTGGCTTTCCTGGAACGTACGCTATAGACCAGGCTGACACAGATTGGAAACCAAAAGCTTGATAGGGAATTTCATCTTGAAAAAGTCTAGAGTTATGAATCAGGATCGGAATTTTTCCCACTCTGTGTTTGCCATAATTCATTGTACTACCTGTGAAATCTCTGAGTTGGTCCTACAGACCAATCTCAGGCCATCCAGCTTGGTGGCAAGTGCCTCCCACTGAGCCAATCTGCTGGTAATCCTTTTTTATACAGCTGGGGATGACTAAACTCTGATTTGCTTACTCTTCTCATGTTGTTACCTTGAATAAAACTTGGGTAGCTCCAAGCTTGGTATGGTGGTCCACACCTTCAATCCCAGTGCTCAGGGTACAGAGGCAGGTGGGTCTCTGAGTTCAAGGCTGACCTGGTCTGCAGATCAAGCAGGATGATTACACAGAGACACCTTGCCCCCCCCCAAAAAAAAAGAACAAAAAGAAAAAAAAGGAAAAAAATTAATTTTCTTTCCTGGTAAAACTAGAACTTGTCATTTATTAATTGAATCTGGGCTCTTAAAACAATGCCTTGGTAACTTCCTTGTTTCGTTACTTTGTACACAGGTCCCCTCCCCTCACAATGCTCTTCCTTTGTGCTACCAAATTCTCTGCCTCTGCCTCTGCCCCTTCAGCTTGCACAGACATCACCATCTTCTTAAGTAGTGACTCAAGTTGTCAGCCAAAGGTGCCAACTGCTGGCTCTGAAACTAAGAGCCAGGGAACTAGTTCAGCTTTGCCCACCTCTAAAAAGGCAGCCAGCTCTCTGGAGTCTTTTTTCCAAAAGGCTGCCGAAAAGCAGAGGCTGAAAGAGCCTTCTCCTGCACCTGTCAACACGACTACAGACAAGTCTCCACCCAAGCCCTCTCTACCATTCCAAACCAGCCGGACTACAGGAATTGAGCCTTTCTTTAAGCAGAAGAGGCTGCTGTCACAGCAGACACAGCTTAGTAATTCTTCAGCTCCTTACCTTCCACAGAAGGACTCGGAAGTGACACCACGCTGTTTTCCAACTGAGAGCTCAGAACGCGGTCCTCTTTATGAAAGAGGGTCGAAGCCAGTATCCTCTAGAGAAGTTTCCACAGAAATGGATGTGGCTGGGGACAGTCCAAACATACGTGAGTCTTCAATGCACAATTCTGAGGAGGTGGCCCAAAGGGCAGCTGAAGACCAAGTGCTCTGTGAGAAGTGTGACTCCCTGGTTCCAGTGTGGGACATGCCAGAACACACAGACTACCATTTTGCATTGGAGTTGCAGAAGTCTTTTGTGCAGCCTTCTTCTTCAAAACCCCAAACTGTACCTGCCATGTCTCCTCAAGGCAAAAGAAATCCCAAGAGCCCTTTGGCTTCCAGTAGTAAACGCCTTAGGCTCCATGGCATGCAGACACTGGAGTCATTTTTTAAGCCACTGACACATTAATGCTACCCTCAGGGTTGCAGGGGAGCTTTACTATTTTATTTGTAACTTGACAGAGGGAATCATGTTGACTTATGAAATTTTTAATACAAAATTAGGTTAAGTTTCTCTCTTCAATGGGATTCTAATCCTGTTGCAGATCAAAATGTTTTTAATCTTCAGAGAGACACTTTCATAAAAGGTGAAAGGAACCTTAGCAAAATCGATAAAATTGAAGACCATATGTGATGTGTTTAGGGATGTAACTCAAGAGATACAGCCCACACAAAAGAAAAGCCAAAGTCCTAACTTAAAATTGGAACAGAAAGGGAAAAAAAATGGGGTTGGGAATACAGTTGGTGGAACACTGGCCTAGGACAGCACATGCAAGGCCCTGTGTTCAATTCCCAGTACTGGAAGACAAAAACAAAACAAAAAACAGTACTATAAACATGGGCAAATTCAAAAGGCTAAATAATGGATTTATTAAATATAATGGATTTAATAAATAACTTTTTAAATTTACTTATTTTATGTACATTGGTGTTTGGCCTGCATGTATGTCTGTGTGTGTGTCAGATCTTGGAGTTACAGCTGCCATATATGGGTGCTGGGAATTGAACCTGGGTCTTCTGAAAGAGCAGTCAGCACTCAACCTCTGAGCCACCTCTCCAGCCCCTTAATAAATTTTTAATGAGACATGTCTTCCTCAGTCATCCAGGTATTGGAATTTACTCTTTTGTTATATATGAATCCAGGTAGTAGGTTAAATGACTAGGAAGGCAGCATGCACATCTCTCTTCCCATACATAAATACAAATCAATTTCATCTTATTTATAAATTGGATCTTTGGATCTTACTTCAGGGGTTTGAAATCCGCTTTTTACTGGGAATGACCCTTTCCTTTGGAGTTACTGTGGCTTTTCCTTAGCTGGGTTAGTAGCTTCTTGGAGGCAGGAATTCCTGCACTGCCTTGCACATAAAATGTTCTTCATGTTGGTTCAATGTATGTAGTAAAAAATTGTACATCTGGTTGCCCATACTAGGACAATAAAAATGCATTATTTGATGACTTGTCTTGCATGCTTTATTCCCCTAAATGTTCTGTTAATGTAACAAAGTGGTCTACTGGTGATTTTGACTAGGCTAGGCTAGACTGTCCTCACAACTGTGATCCTACTTCAGTTCTGTGTCTGGGATCATAGGTATACACCAATATGTTGGGATGGCTGGCAAGGGGGAGTTGTGCTTGTAATCCCCACACTTGAGAGGGTAAGGGAAGAAGAGTCAGCCTGGAGTTAAGTCATCCCTGGCTAGATAACAAGTCTGAGATGCTGGGCTACATGAGCGAGGTAGGGGACTGGATGTAACCCACTGGTAGAGTACTTGCCTCCATGATTTTTAATAGTTGAATTCTGAAGGTGGAGGCATGAGGATCTGGAGTTAAGTTCTGGGCCAGTTTGGGTAATTCAATGAGACCTTGTCTCAGAGAGAAGCACTGTAGCAGAAACTTAGGTGTCACCTGAATTTCTAGAGATAAGTTGGCGGTCAGGTGGAGGGTGGCTAGTAGACCAAGGAAAGGCAAAACCAGTAGTATACCTGTTTTCCTGCATAGTCTCTAGGAGAGCAGATAGGCACGCCTTCATCAGTGCTGGGAAATATCACTGTGCTGCAAGGTGACGACCTTGCCTTTGTCACATGGGGAGGAGTTTTTACCCACAAGCTTCTTAGTAGAATGTTAAGCCAACAGTTTTTTTTTTTTTTTTTGTTTTTTTTTTTTTGGTTTTTGTTTTTACAGATGGGGTTTCTCTGTGTAGACCAGGCTGCCCTCAAACTCAGAGATCTGCCTTCTTCTGCCTCCTGAGTGCTGGGATTAAAGGTGTGCACCACCATGCCCAGCTACCAATGCTTTTGTTTTGTTTTGTTTTTTAAACCATGCCTGTAACCCCAGCCATCGGAAAGGAAGAAGCACTAAAAGCTCAGGGTCACCCTCAGGCACATAGTTTGAGGTCAGCTTGGGCTAGGGACTTACTTCAGAAAGGAAAACTCTGGAGGCAGGATGCTGCATAAGGCTTTGGACTACATGTATCATTTGCTTTGCCAGGATTAGTATTCAAAACGGTTTCTACTTTAGCAGTAGACTTTAGCTTTAGACCCTACTTAATATGGTGTAGTCAGAAAGACTGGGAATAGAGCTCAATGGTGGTATCTGGTTAGCATGGATTCCAAAATCTGTGATGGTGTGAACACAGAAATAGGAAGGACGAGGTTTAGCTTACGTGTCCCTCAGTGCTCCAAGAGTCTAGGTTCTATGTGAGCTGAAAAGGCCTTTCCATTTTATACTCTACTCGCTTGAAGAATGAAAGTCAGAACACACAGAATGCTGATCCTATGGGGGAGAGGAAAAGAATGTCCACTGAGATGAGGGATGACTTCTTCCCCAATCCAGAGTTCAACAATGGTAGGGTGTCACTTGTCTCTAACCCTAAGAGAATCTAGCTTTGGAGGCTGAAACCTGTGTCTTAAGCATAAGCACAGAGTGTTCAATAAAACATTTTTATTCTGTACAATATATATGTGTATTTAAATATATATACATATATAAATACATGTGCAGAGTATCTTCAACCAACAAGTCCCTGAGTTCGTGGGAACCCAGGATGCTAACAAAAGGAGGGAACCCATGCCTAGAATGACACCTTTCCCTTTCCTCCTGGTTCCCGGCAACAGAGGGAAGGGGATGATCACTACAACTTAGTAAAACAAGAGAAAATTTATGTGGGTGCAGGACCTGGGATGAGGATACCAGGACACACACCTGTAGGTCAGGTCCTGCAGCTACCAGGTTGGGAAAAGGAAAACACACTATTTGATCTAGCATGAAATCAACAGATGACTTGCAGAGGAAAAGAAGAGGATTGACATGCAGCTGGCCTTTGGTGTGCCAAGTCTTAGCTTGGCCGCCCCACGCCTAGGCCAGCACCACAAATAGCACCAAGTGGGGCCTAGAACAGCGGGATCTGGGGGAAACCGCCCTTGAGTGGGGGAGAACAAAATAAAGCCAGGAAAATGCATCAGGACTCAACACAGGGAAGGGACAGTCTTTCACGGTCTCTCTCTGTCATTTCTTCAGGCCCCAGGTCCACCAGATGGCCAGGAGCAACTGTCTTTTATCCAGTCAGGTAGAGAAGGGCAACTTACGTGGCCTTGAGAGGAGGTATGAAAAAGAAATGCTCTCAAGGGCCACCCCAGTTATGACAATTCCTGAAGTGCAGAGATCACACTGGTGAGTCCCGCCCGGTCCTGATAGTGGCCCGAGATGGCTATGCCTCCGGTAGACAGGACCACACAGCTGCTGAAACTGTCCCTCCGGACTGCCCCTCCCTGGCCACACCAAGCATGACGCCTCTCCAGAAAGGTGGCAGGAAGCAAGTGGCAGCAGCCACTCTGCCTAGCCCATGAACACACAGAGCCGCCGACGGTGGGCAGCGTGGCCGGAAGTCATCTTATGTATTGTAGGGACAGCAGGAGAGCTGTTTTGAGGACTCAGAAGCCCATGCTGGCCTGGGCTTCTCCTGCTGTGATGGCTTGCACATCCGTGACATGGCCGATGCCCTTGGTAACGCCCTCCCGGAAGAGCAGTTTGGCGCCCACCTTCAGGTACTCGGGGTGTTTCAGGAAACGGAAGCGTACCACTGCCTTCTCTCCCGTCCGCAGCTTGTCCTTCAGGAGGAAAGTGGTCACAGCCCTGACCACTCTCTATCAGCCTTGGCTCCACCCTTGAGGCCCCCAGGTGGGATGCTACCCACCCTCCTGCATGGGCTTTGCTCCCTTTTCGGGATCAGGCAACTCTCAGCCAAGTACGTATGATGTTAGGGCTCCCTCCTCTATGGAGGCAGAGTACAGGCTTTCCCTGCAAGAAATGGAGACACGACTGGGTCCCTCTCACCTTCGCATGGATCTTTTCCACCACTGCCGTTTGACGAACGTTGCCCACGTGTACTGTCACCTGGAATCCCCGCCGGAAGGTGGTGGCATGGAAAAGTAGGACTATCTCTGCCTCAAACACTGAGCAGATGGTGGGATTCATCTCGGGGCTCACCATCACCATACCCTGGAGAGGCATAGCCCCAGACCCAAGAAGGGCAGATCTGGCATCAGACACTTTCCAGCCTTTAGAACTCCTGAATCCTCCTTTCTTCTACAAACCTCCAAAGAAAGTCCTCAGAATGCCATGGTACCATGCTCATTTATATTTAGGGACCTGACTTTTAAGGTCCTAAGCCCTTCCAATAGTCTATGCTACCGAGTTAGAGGCCAGGCTCCCTTGGGTTCCTCCAGATGCTTCCCATTCAGTTTCCAGACACTTGCATTCCCTCTCCAACCCACGTGCCCACCTCACCTTGCGAAGCAGCGCACGGTCAAAGTCTCCGAGGGCTAGTGTAGCAGCCTGACCGGCTCGCAGCACACGACAGGCGGAGCGATTGCGCTGGATGCTGCATACTCTCAGCTCCAGGAAGCAGCCATCATCTGTTGGGCCTACCACCAGCTGGTCCCCCTCACGGCAGATCCCACTGCAGCCCAGACAGCAGTAGCACAGTGTCAGCATAGCCCCCCCCCCCCGCCCCGACTTCTCTCCTGGCGCCACTCAGAGTACCCTGCCCTTGAATTAAGGTAAAAGAACCCTAACTTCCAGCCTGGAAGGAGAGGCCTGCCTTGTCTGGCTTAGCATTCAGATTCTGAAGGCTCAGCAGTAACAGCTGGCAGAGGCACACACACCAGCTCACTAAAGAACAAGTTACACCCTTAGGTTCATGCTCTGCCTCATGAAGAGCCTCTTCCTCTGTTCCCTGCTTTGAGATGTAAGTGAATGAACGCATCGTTTCTTCCTAGAGCCCATAGCCATAGGCTCTAGGGGCTTGGAGAGTCCCCTAAAGCAGCAAGCGATGCCATCTCTCCCTCAAAGCCAAGGGTACTAAGCTTCCTGCGAGTGAAAGCTAGTCTGCAAACAAGTATGCCCCGTGCATGAGCTCCACCCAGAGCCTCCTCCAGGGAAGAGGGTTCAGGGACAGGGTATACGGGTGAGGGAGGGCTGAGCAGCAGCGAGGCAGTCACCTGGAGAGTGTCCCTCCAACCACAGTCCCCACCTCTGGAACCGTGTAGATCTCATCCACCTAGAGCCAAAGGAAACTGTCAATGTCCGCGGCCAGGGATGCGGGCCCGGCCTTTGTGATGCTCAGGCTTTGTCGGAACTGGGCCTGCCCTGCTGCGCCCCATCCCCGTTTACTGGACCAACTACCTGGAACTCTGTCAACTGCTGCATGAGCTCCTCCTGCTCTTTGCTGTTGGTGAGTGGAGGCAGGATGTTCAGGAAGACTTTGAGAAGATCCAGACTCTCTCCAGACACGCTGGACAATGTGAATATAGGGGTGACGCTGTGGAGAGAAGAGTCTTAGCAAGAAGCAGTCGCCAGAGGCCCACCCATGAAAAGGTGAGCAGACAGCCCCTTTCTGACTGGGAGCAAACCAGGGAACAGGGACAGTTAATGTCTTCAAGGTCCCAGGCATCAACAAAGCTCCAGCTTAGCTCCCTCCCACAATCCCGAGCTGACAAAGCCGAAGATGTGGACTACAGTGACTCTGGCCCTAGAGGTGGACAGCATGCTCCTGGGCCTGTGGCAGCCTTCCTTCCCTGTCCATCAAGGCTTTAGGGTGAGAGGCAGGCTCACTTGGGTGACTGGGCAAACTGCTGGGCAGCAGTGACAGCATCATCCTCAGAGGTGACCAGCATGGGGACCTTGTGGCAGCCAGGCTGCTTGAGGACCCGCTCCAGCTGGCGTACTGTCCTCTCCACTGTGGTCTTAGCACACAGGTCCACTTTACTGACCACGATGAAGAAGGGCACTTTCAGGGCCAAGGCCAGCCCCAGATGTTCCCGTGTGGTGCCGGCTACCTCACGGGAAGGAGGCAGGTGGCAGGAGAGGAAGGTGGGAAGGAAAAGGAAGAGTTGGTGTTGCTCCCAGCTCTGAGGGGGCTCAGGGCAGAAGAGAGTCAGCTCCTCCCTTTGCCCTGCCCTCTGCTCAGTGCCCCGTACCGATTCCAGTGTTGGCACTGACGAGGAGCAGGGCACAGTCGGGGCAGTAGGAGGTGAGGCCGAAGATGGTGGTGTGCAGGTATTTATGGTGGCCCGCCAGGTCAATGAAGGTGATCATCTTGGAGCTGCTTTCGCAGATCTCTTCTGCAGTCCGTGAGTCGCTGTAATTCACCACCTAGCCCAGGGCCAGGGCCCTCAGTGTCCCTGTGAGCCTCCCCAACCCTTCAGGAGTCACCAGGACCTAGTCTAGTCCCTAGGCAGCCCTGTCTCATAACCTTGAGCCCATTTTCTACTTCACTCCGTGGATGCTCACTTGGTTTTTAAAAGGGAGAGAGCTGTTCACAGTGCCCTCGGACTTCTCCAGAAGTCTCCGCACCCTGCCCCCACAGCCTCTGTCCTTCACCTCTACCAGCCCGTCCTCAGAGTCTGGCCCCACTGGGTCCCGCTGGTCCCATGCACCTCTCCCTTGCTGTTAAAGCCCAGGATCTCAAAGCTGATGCTGGAGGTTCGGCCAGACTGAATCTCATGCAGGTGGCGGAAAAGGTTGAGCCGGGCCCGGCCCCGCCCGTTGTCCAGCTCTCCTTGGGTCAGGACTCCAAGCAAGGTTGACTTCCCTGAGTCCACGTTCCCCAGGACTGCCACACGCAGATCTAGGAACTGTGAGGAAATCAAGAGAGGTGAGTTCTCCAGTCCTTCACCTCACAATGAAGGTTAAAGATGCTGATGCTCCCTGGAGAGCACCCTCTGGGCCCCAGGCCAGTGGACGCCCGACATCACAGAGCCTTCACTGGGAGGGACAACGTGGGACTTCTACATCTCACCTGTTGGTTGTCAGGAACCTTTCGAACCAGCACCTCAGTGATCTTCCGGGGCATGTCACTATCGTAATCCACTTCTCGCTCCCGCAGAACAGTGATGTCGGCCCCAACCCTGTCACAGAAAAGTCACAGCTACCATATTCCACACGTATCCCCTATTCCAGCCTGGCTCTAGACCACGAAGCTCCTGACACCTCGCAGCACTTCCTGCCAGCTTGCAAGCTATCCCCCAACGCCTCTTTGAAACAATGAAAGGAGCAGGGAGCCCAGCACAGCGAGGAGATGGGAGAGCATCCACTTGACTCACTCTGACCCTTTGTCAGGGGACTGCTACAGAGGGAGCCCTGCCCCACCCCAGCCCCGCTGGACCTGGCTGGCTGGGTATGCATGGGCTCGACCTAAAGCTGGAGGGGGGGGGTGGGGGGAAGCATACTTCTCTGCCATCCGGTGCAGGGTCTTGAGGGAAGCCCGCATCTCCTCCTCAGCCAGCCCCACCAGCAGCCCATTGTCCTCTACCCCAATCTGGTAGACTGCCTCACCGCGTCCCTCCTGGAGCCGCCACTTCATTTGCGTTACCAAGTGCTCAAAGCGGTACTGGGATGGATTCACCAACTTGAGCTTAAGACAGACGTGGTATCATGAGAGGAAGAAATCAGGGTTGCTCCTCCCAAACCCTAAATGGGGTCTCTTTCTGTCCTGCTACAATGACCAGCACCTTTCTGTTCCACTTAAAACCCTTGCCCTCTGGGGATGGAGAGATGGTTCAGTGGTTAAGAGTACTCCGGTCAGGTGGCTGACCAAAACCTGAAATGACAGCTCTAGGGAAATCTGACACCCTATTATGGCCTCTAAGATACCTGTACTCAGAAGCACATACATGTACACATACAAATTAAAAATCTCAAAAAAAAAAAAAAAAAAAAAAAAAAAAAAAAGCCCTTACTCCTACCACACTAGCAGTGATCCCCCGACACAGTGGGGTCAGAGAGCTCAGCAATGATAGCATTCCTTCCCTAGGAAGTTGCAGCATGGAGCTGGAGGGACAGCAAAGAAATCACCTCACACTGGCCACACTGACAAGGGCAACTAACTACTCACTCTTCCCCTCCCCAACCTAAGACTCACTTTATACTCGATGTTTCCATCTTCAGCCTGAAAAGAAACAGGAAGCCGTTAGCACACCTGGTTCAGACCCAAAACCTACTTCCTCGATTCCCAATGACTTCGGGCATATAAGGCAGGACGCGAACGGCAGTGGCACCTGCCCATGCGCCAAGATGCCAAGCTCCGATGTGGCCTGTAAGGGTACCGCAAACCACCCACGTATCCACGGACAGGGTCCCTGATTCTCAGCATGCTCCTTCTGGATGCAAGACCACCTCTCCTTCCCACCCTCCACAGTCTAACACCGCTGTCCGGTCCAGGTTTTGTGGTTTTGGTTTTATTTTCTTCCTGTGTTCTGTGTTCAGGTTGTTGACACATTCATTTCTTTGACACACGGATCTGGTAGGCACCACTTCCTCCTTGCCCATCCCTCTTGGCTGATGCCATCAAGTGTAAGAGGCTACAAGTGACTCTGGACCAGAGCCAAAGTGTGAGCTCAGCACTGGTCATTACAAACTCACTGAGACAGCGGGCCCAGGTACGAGAGGAGCTGGGGCTTGCACAAACAAAAGAAACAAGAGACGTGTTAAAGGGACAGACTCCATAAAATGAACTTACTATGGCCGTTACCCCTGTCCAGGCCTCAGCCGAGGAGAAACTCTGAACCCATACCATAACCTCTTCTCACAGCAGCAACTTTTTGGGCTGTGTGCTACACACACAGCTGCCTCCCCTACTCTCCACCCTCTCATAACAAAGGTTATGAGATCTGCTCACTTCTGCATTCTCCCTCTCTGGCCATCTTAGTTTCCTATTCCCCTTTCTGTCATCAGGCCATCTTTAAAGTCCTTAGAGGAGTCTTTATCCATAATCCCGACCCCATCAACAAAGAAACCTTTACACTAATCTGCTGAAGATGAACAATTAGAAGAGTTGACTTTAAAGATGGCGTTAAGATATCTAAGCCAGTGGTTCTCAAAGGGTGGTTCTGGAACCAGCATTAGCTTGTAAGAACAAACTCTCAGGCCCATCTCTCACCTAGTGGGTCAGAAATTTTATGAATAGGGCAGCAATCTGGATAACTCTGGTCTATACTTAAAGTCTGATAACCACTGACTGAAGCCCTTCCCACCTTGGGTTCTCCTATCTTTGTTTTGTTTTCGAAACAAGGTTTCTCTGTGCAGCCCTGGAACTCAGGGAGATCCTCCTGCCTCTGCCTCCTGAGGGCTGGGATGGAAGGTGTGCATCACCCCTGCTCCACTGGGCTCTCCTATCTAAAGAGGAAGGAAAGTAGGGCTCGTGAAGCCAGCATATGGGGAGGGGGGCTCTTCCCTGTGTCCACGCCCCCAACAGGACCAAGGAAAGGCAGAGGGCTGGCCATGTCTAACTGTTGTCTGGTTTTGTGTGTGTGGATACCGGGAGGTAGGGAGAGAACACATTGCTCTTCTCCGGGCTACTCCCCTTCTTCTCCCTGTGGACCAAGCTTGGAAAAGCGGTGGTTCCTCTGCCGGCCTGCCTTCTTATCCCAGTACAGTGTTCCTTCCCCACTCCAGGCGTAGGGAGATCAGACACCCTCTGCTCTTCTCATGGGGACAGGATCCCCCGTCCCCACTTCTCCAAAGGTTATGTTAGTGAAAGAAAGGGGCAGTGCTTTCCCGACGTCCTGACACCGAGGAGGATCGTCGAGTCTTGTTGCCCCTCTTTTCTAAGGGGTCCTGAGACAGGAGGAGGAGTTCCCTTCCCCAGTCCTTCCTCCCTGGGGTCTTGACACCGGAAAGGGGGATTAATTATCTCCGTCCCGCCTCCCTGGAGTCTCGGGGACCGGAAGGAGTAGTTCCTACGACCCCGCCACTTTTCAGGTGCTCACCTCTGGGGGCAGGTATGGAGGGTTGTTGGCTTTACCTCCTCTGTTCCTTCCGTTCTTCTTCTTCCCCTTTGGGCCCCCGCAACTGCTGCTACCTCCGGCCCCCCGAGCTTTGAGGTTTCCTCCCATGGCCGGGCCTCCTCCGGGCCGGCAGCAGCCGCCGAACAGCTCCGATACCCGCGAGTCCATCCGCCGCTGCCACCAGCCCCCCGCCCGACCCCTCCCCCCCAGCCACTACCGCCGCCCCTACTGCCACGGCCGCGTCGGGCCAGCCGGAGGAGAGCGGGGTGTGGCCCAGCGCAGGCCACGCCCCTGCCTCCCCTGGCCTCCTGGTCGCGTCAGAAAAAGCCGCAGGGCATCAAGGGATACGGAGTCCGCGGGCCTGAGAGTTGGTATTAAAGAATGTGAACCCGAACTACAATTCCCAGGAAGCATCACTACACGAGGGCCGCAGGTGGTTTTGGGGGCGTGGGTTGCAAGCGCGCCTAGCGCACAAAAGCCTAAGGGACTTGTAGTCCGCATCCCATTCCCTGCGCCGCGAGCGGCTCCTTTTCTAGGGGCAATAGGAAAGCCCCGAGGCCTGATATTGAGGACAGTCACCGGAGGCAAAGGGATCATGAGTCGAACTGGGTTTGACCGCTCAGCGTAGATCCCAGACAAGTTAAAATTCAGGGCAGTTGGACCTGACAGCCTGCTAGCTCCACCTCTGCCTCAGTTTCTTCCCCGACGGCTGGCGTGCTGTCGAGTGAGTCAGGGCAAAAGCTAGGGCGGAGGCAGATGGTAGTTATAGCATAATTAGAGCTGTTATTGTGACGATGATTATGCCACCCTTGTACCATAGTCACTGCTTTATTACTTGGCTGGCACAGTCCGGGGGCCGGTTTTAACAGCCCCGGGCACCGCGGCGGCCAGACACGTGTCCAGAACCCATAAACCAGCCAGATGCTTTAGGGGTTTGAGGATGCCTACAGTAAGTATCTCTCCTCCCCTTTTGTTTTGATGTTGAACCAATCCAGGAAAACAGAGATTGGTTTAAAACTGGTCCGGAGGAGGGGCCTGGCCCCTCTTGGGGCGGAGCTGGGGTTCCAGACACGTCAACCGCCCAGGGGCGGGCGGGGGAAGTGGCCCGAAATAGAAACTTGTCCAAGGGCCCTGGGGAATTGTTGACTTGCCCTTCTAACCAAGCCTTCTCTCCTGTCCTTTAGAACTCTGGAAGCGACGTAAACCAGTGTATAAGGCACCAAAGGGGCAGAGTGGAGAAACATGGCCATGAGTCAGGACGCCAGGGTTCAAATCCTAGCTCCGTGGCTATCTCATGACTCAGTGTATCCACTCCCCTCTCTGCACAAACAACCAAGTGTTTCATACATAGCCGAGAAATTAAACAGCTTTTGTCCTCAGAATTGTAAAGTTTTCCTCAGTAAACTAGGAACAGCAATAGTCTTACCTCTGGTGCTCTCTGCAGGAGTTCAGACCTGGTTGAGTCGGTGTCTTCGTTATAGGTCCACATGGAAGAAGATGGATCTATGGGGCATGCAGTTGCTGTCCACATTAGATAACTTCCACACCAGCTAGACCAGAAGAACCAAAATGTGAAAAAAAAAAAAAAAACCCTTGCAGGTCTAGTCAATTGTGTGAGTCTTCAGTAAAGGAAAGCAGGTCTCTTCTGTATGCTACCCTGTATGGTTGAGGACAGCCTTATGTGGAAGCACAGGACTACCGGAAAACTGGTTTTAGAGACTGACACTTGAGAGCTGAGAGGTCTCCAAGGATGGGAATTGAAAGGTAGAGATGCCCCACACTCACACCCACACATTATCACTACTACCAGCCCTGGGCCCACTCAACAGCCAGAACCTGCTGCACTGAACAGATAACATTTGTTGTTGCTGTCACTTCTTAGCTTTTTAAATACCCATGGACCTTCCATCAGTCAGTCCACTTTTAATACACCGTTTCATCCCACCCATTCCAATCCCCATATCTCCTTAGTGGAGACCTTCTTTTAGGAGATGATGGGAGCTAGCCCATTCTTGAACAACCTGGCCTACCCACAGACAGAGATGAAGGCTGACAGAGGAGCTGGTGGATAGGATGTCCCCAGAGGAGATCAGGGTCCTGGGGAAGGCAGATGATGGAAGAGATCAGTTTCCTGGACTGGTTGCCTATGAGGTGGTTAGCTATTGGATGTGTATATATACACATGTTGTGGTTATATACACATGTGGTTATATCACATGCAAAATTTTTTCCTGGCTGGTAATGAGTCATTTGCTTTTATATGTAGTCCCTCTGTGTGCATATGCATTTTGTAAATGGTACCTTCGTGTGCTCTGACTTACAGCAACCCTTTTCCTCTGCTTTCTTGGTTTCCTGCCATCCTTAAATCAACCTCTTATAGACTGTTACCCAATAGAGCTTTGAGGAGATCTTTAAAGTTTTTACACTTGGGGCTGAAGAGATAGCTCAGTGGTTTAGAGGTCTTGTTGCTCCTCTAGAGGCCCAGAGTTCAGTTCCTAGCACCAGTATTAGGTGATTTAGCACTACCTTTAACTCCAGCTCCAGGGGACCTGGCACCCTCTTTTGCAGTTCAAGAACATCACATTTATGTGCACAATGCCAATTACAGACATACACAGTTAAAAATTAAATATATTAAACGTTTACGTGCATCTACGTACATGTGTGTATATTATGATACACATTTGGAGATCAGAAGGCAATTTGCAGGAATCTATCCTATCCTATTAAATGGATTCTGGGATTTGAACTCAGGTCACCAGACTTGGCAGCAAGTGCCTTTACCCCCTAAGCCATCTTGCTGGCCCTGATTTTTTTTTATTGATATTAACAATTGAACCTAGAGCCTCAGTGCTTGATATGCACAGTCTCTTCCACTGTGCTATTCTGCTAGCTTCCTGCAGCGACTTTCAAGTTTTTTATTTGTTTGCTTTTTGGTGTGTGTGTGTGTGTGTGTGTGTGTGTGTGTGTGTGTGTGTTCTGAGACAGGGTTTCTCTGTTTCTCTCTGTAGCCCTGAATGTCCTGGAACTCATTCTGTAGACCAGAGATCTACCAGCCTCTGCCTCCTCAGTGCTAGCATGAAAGTCATGCTCTGCTGCCGCCATCTTGCTGATTTTCAGGTTTATTTTACACTTATTTAATCCACTTGAAACATTACCTTTTGGAAGTGTGTGGTAGAAACTAATTTTATTTTATAGTGGACCTCCCCCATTCCTGTTTCTCAAGCATTCTGCTGTACACCTATATCCAAAGCCCCATATTTTACTTTTTATTTTGAGACAGAATCTTGCTAAGTTATCCAGGCTAGCCTTGAACCTGCCTTAGCCATTTAGCTAGCTGAGATTTCAGGCCTTCACCACCAGACCTGGGTTTGTCTTGTGTTATTAACTTGAAAAAGCTGCTGCCATTGTATACAAAGATCTACATATATACCAATCTGTTCTGAGTTCCTAACTTTTAATTTCTTTTATTCTGGTATCAATTTCCCACACAGTGCTTAGACCAAGATTCTTATGCATGCTAGGCAAACATTTTATCTACCACTGAGCTACACAACTCCAGCTCAATACCACACTATTCTTTTTTCTCTTTGGATTTTAGACACTGTGTTTCTCTGATTAGTACTGGCTGCCCTGGGACTCTGTAGACCAGATTGGCCTCGAACTCAAGAGATCTGCCTGTCTCTGCCTGCCAAGTGCTAGGATTAAAGATGTATGCCACCACTGCCCAGATATATATATATATGTATACATATATATATATATATATGTATATATACATATATGTATATGTATATGTACACACACATAGTTATCTACTCAATGTCAAATAAATATTAGGTAGGATGGTTATGGTGGCACACCCCTTTAATCACAGCACTTGGGAGACAGAGGAAGGCAGATCTCTGTGAGTTCCAGACCAGCAATAGCTACATTGTGAGACTTTGTATCAAACAAAATTTCCCTAGTTCTAGCCTCTTTCATCAAGCACTGGATCACTGTAGCCAACCACCTCTAATTTATAATTCTGCCTCATCCTCCCTGTAACTCAGTAGTAGGTTTAAAGGTTATGTTTACAAAATGCAAATAAAAGTGGTTACATTTGTGTGTGTGTGTATGGTGTGTGTGTGTGTGTGTGTGTGGTGTGTGTGTATGGTGTGTGGTGTATGGTGTGTGCTGTGTGTGGTGTGTGTGTATGGTGTGTGTGTGTGTGGTGTGTGTGTATGGTGTGTGGTGTATGGTGTGTGCTGTGTGTGGTGTGTGTGTATGGTGTGTGGTGTATGGTGTGTGCTGTGTGTGGTGTGTGTGTATGGTGTGTGTGTGTAGTGTGTGTGGTGTGTGTGTGTGTGTGTGTGGTGTGTGTGTGTAGTGTGTGTGGTGTATGGTGTGTGCTGTGTGTGGTGTGTGTGTGTGTGGTGTGTGTGTGGGTGAGTGTGTGTGTGTGTGGTGCTGGTGTGGAGGTGAAAGGACAACTTGTGGGTGTCTATCAGGAGGATGGAATTCAGGCCACCAGTTCTGGCCACAGTGCCTTTATGTTCTCTGCCGTCTTGCTTGCAGATGTTCGTGCGTGAGCCTGCCACAGAGAGGTGTGGAGGGAGTCTGCCCTTTCCTTCACCTTATGGGTCCTGTTTATCGGCAAGCTTCCTTACCCTCTGTGGCATCTCCCAGGGTTCCTCACTGATCTAATTGAAAAAGTTTACCCATCAACCTACAGGAAAACTCATATTCAAACTTCAACATCACAACTGTCATGATCTGGCCACTGTTTATCTTCAACCTTAAAACCTTAACTCTTAGTGGGGATGGTGGAATTCGCCTTTAACCCCAGCATTCAGAGTCAGGTGAATCTCCAAGCCTGGTCTATATAGTGAGTTCCAGCACAACTAGGGCCATTATACAGAGAAACCCTGTCTCAGAAAACTGACCCTCCCCGCCCCCCCCCCCACAAACCTTAACTCTTTTTTGTTGTTTTGGAAACAGGCTCTGTTCTGGAAATGACTCTGAAGACCAGGCTAGCCTCGAACTCACAGAGATCCGACTGCCTCTGCCTCCGAAGTGCTGGGATTAAAGGTGTGCGCCAGCATCACCCAGCAAAACTTTGAACTCTTTAAAATATGAACTTCTACTCCTTGAACAGTGAACGTGGTCTCTCAAGACTCAAGATCTCAAACATAAGGATCATCCTTTTACCTAGCTAACTTTACCTATAGGTCACAGGGCACACATTCCGGGGACCACCCTTACCCTGCCCTAACCCTAGCCCTGCCCCAACCCGCTCTGGGGAGGGTGCCTCTGATCCTCTCAACGCTCATACAAGCCCATTGTCTAATCCGTGATAGGGCGGGAGATTGACTTGACAGAGGCTGGGTCTCCAGCACCTAGGACAGGGCCCGGCACGAAGTCGGCGCGCAGTGAGGAGCGCAGAGAACTGGCGTGAAAGGATGCGCCTTTGGGACGCAGCCCCAGAGGTCGCAAGGGTCGCCTACGTGGGAAGGGCCAAACGTTCCCTTCCCAGGGTGTGGTTCAGCCAACTCCAACCTCCACCGCCCAGAGGCCGCGCCGGATCCCTTCCGGCTGGCCCCGGGCAGGAAGTGGAGCTTGAGCTTCCCATGATGCTCCGCGCGGCGTCTATTTTAACCGCAGGGCGAGTAAGCAGGCAGCAGCTATGGCTGCGCCCGGGCCGGAGCTTCTGCCCGAGCTGTCTGCTGCGGCCCCCGGTAAGGCATGCGATCCGGAACGTGGGGCCACCTTCTTTCCTGCTGCTACCTCCCCGGAGGCATTTGGCGGCTGGCGCTTCCTCCGTCTTCCTCTCTGTCTCTTTGGTTCCCGGTGTCGCGGCCGGAGCTGGCTCTGTGGGTCACTTCCTCGCTTTGTGTGGAGTTGCTCCTCCTGTCGTGTCCTTTGGGGTGTGCTGGCCCCAACTCCACACTTCATAGCGAAGCCTTAGTCGTCTGTCTCGGAAAGCCCCCTTCTGTCCCTTTGTCATTATAGTCGCCCCTGCCAGCATCAGGTCTCCTGTCACCGTCCAGGGTAAACGGGGCTGTCTGCTGATGTGGCCCCTGGGAACGAGAAGACTGATGCTGATTTTGATCCCCTCTCTCTCCCTTTACCTTTTCATTCACGGACTAGATTTGGATTGGCACGAGAAGTCGGAAGAAACCCATGCTCCCCAGGTAGATCCCGAGACCGCCATCACGTCAGCCCAGGAACCTTCCAATCCTTCGGAGTCCCTTTGCCCGAGAGACTTGGTGCCGGTGGTTTTCCCTGGGCCTGTGAGCCAGGAAGGCTGCTGCCAGTTTACTTGTGAACTTTTAAAGCATATCATGTACCAACGCCAACAGCTCCCTCTGCCCTATGAACAGCTTAAGGACTTCTACCGAAAATCTCCCCAGGTATGCACAGGCTTTGGAAGAAAATTGGTGGGAAGACTTTGTGGGCCTCAGATGGTGGACACGTAGAAAAGTGAGTTTAGAAAGCCTCAGTTTCCGTGGAAGCCTAGGCCTTTGGAAAGGCTCCCGTTCCTATTTTCACCCCACTTGGGTCCTGGTAACTCTCCTCTCCCCCTGCTCTCCGTCTGAGACTCTTCCTCTTATGTGTTGTATGAGGACATCATGAATCTGATCCCTACATTTTTTATTTTTTGAAACAGCATTTCACTATGTAGTTCCGGCCAGACATCGGCCTGCCTGTCAACTTCCCCGGTGACTGTAGGTTTATAGGGATGCACCACGCGCCCGCCCGGCCTTTCCTTAGTGGTCTCTCCTTCTCTCCCCCCTCTGCTCCCCTCCGCTCCCCTCCTCTCTGGGCCTCCTCCCCTCCCCTCCTCCTCCCCTCCTCCCTTCACTCTTGGGACTCCAAGGCCTCTCACACGCTAGAGAAGTGCTGTATCCCCACATCTGAACTGACTGTTTACATCTGAATTGCTTTTTCTCACCACATTTTCATCCGTTTCTGGCTTTTTGTTGTTTTGGGTTTCTCTGTAGCTTTGGAGGCTCCAGTTGTTTTAATTATTTTCTTTGGAGAACTTATTTTTTAAGATTTTCAGTTTTAGCCCGGCATCAATAAATAAATCTAAAGAAAAAAAGGTTTTATTTTTATCTTATTATGTATTCGTGTATACAGTGCTCTGCCTGTACAGCAGAAGAGAGCACCATGTTTCATTATAGATGGCTGTGCTGTGAGCCACCAAGTGGTTGTTAGGAATTGAGCTCAGGTCCTCTGGAAGAGCAGCCAGTGCTCTTAACTCTGAGTCACCTCTCCAGTCCTTTGGAGACTTCCTAGACTTTTTTTTTTATCAGTTTGGGATCGGGGGTTTTCTATTTTAATAGTCTTGCTGCGTTGTCCAGTGTGGTTGAACTTTTCCGCTCTCACATTCATTACTTTAGTGGGGGTGGGCAGGCATCACTGTGCAGGTGTGGGAGTCAGAGGACTGCTTGCAGGGTTCAGTTCCCTCTCTCTCACAGGCCAATGAGTGTGTGGACTTCAGTGCTTCTCCCACGTCAGGACATGTCCTGGGGATAGAGCCACCATACCCTTGAGGACGATAAAAACATTCTTATTTTTTTTCTAAAGGGCCCACCCACTCTCCCTCTTGCTTCTTGCAGTGTCTTTTTTGTTTTGTTTTTTTCTGAGACAGGGTTTCCCTGTGTAGCTTTGGAGCCTGTCCTGGAACTAGCTCTGTATATCAGGCTGGCCTCGAACTCACAGAGATCTACCTGCCTCTGCCTCCCAAGTGCTGGGACTAAAGGCGTGCACCACCACTGCCCTGTCTTTTTTCCAGAATCCTTTTCCTATTTGTTTCTTTTGACTTTTGGTGTTTGCTGTTTTATGTTGGAACTTTTTATTCTGCCTGATAAATATTTCAGGATAGACCATTGTCTGATGCCTGGGCCTTGTGAACTGGTAACTATAAGGAGGCTGGGCATTGGTGGAACACACTTTTAGTCCCAGCGCTCGGGAGGTAGAGGCAGGTGGATCTTTGTGAGTTAGAGACCAGCATGGTCTACAAGAGTGAGTTCCAGGACAGCCCCCAAAGCAATACAGAGAAACCCTGTCTGGAAAGCAAACAAACAAACAAAAATTCTATAAGGAGAACCTGGTGATCGCTTTGGAAAACTCATCAAACATACTATAGGAGGACCAGGTATGGAGCCCTAATCCCATCACATGGGAGAATGGATCCCTGAGTTCCAGGCCAGCCTGCTCATCATAAGCAGTTCCAGGCTAGCCAGTGTACATAGTGAGACCCTATCTGTTTTGTTTTTTTTTTTTTTTTTTTTTTAACTTTACATGTATTGGTATGAAGGTGTCAGATCTGGAGTTCCAGACAGTTGTGAGCTGCCATTTGGGTGCTGGGAACTGAACCTGGGTCCTCCGGAAGAGCAGCCAGTGCTCTTAAACGCAGTGCCATCTCTCCAGCCCCACACGGGTTTCTGTTCAACGCTGCCTTTCATGCTTCCTGCCCTTCCTATACTGTCCAGTCTTCTGCAATGTGGACTTGCTTCCTGGGGATGTCTTCTTTACTAGCAGTTGGTAATCAGCTCTCTAACTCTGAATGCCCCCCACCCCCATTCGGTGGTGCTGGGACTGTCTTTTTCTCTTCTGAAGCTTCTTGCTTGGGCCAATAGTGTATATTCTTTAGTGCTTTCTCTACGGGGAGTTCTTCCCGACTCATTCCTCTTCCTCCTTTCCTTACTGAACTTCTCTCCTTGCTGTTTTAGGGGGAAGCATGTATTAGTGGACTGTATGTGTGTGTGTGTGTATGTGTGCGTGAGAGAGAGAGAAAGACAGAGATTGGGCACATGTACCACAGTGGAGGTCAAAGAATAATTTTGTGAAATCATTCTTTTTTGTCTGTGTCTGGGGATCGAACTCAGGTTGTCAGGCTTACGCAGCAAGCCCCTTTAACTGCTGAGCCATCTCACCCCCTTGTGACTATTTTGATGCCCTCCAGCTTTCAATACCTTCTTTGCTATTTAAGGCACGGAGAACTGTAGTTTGTAAAGTGCATGTATCTTTCTAATTTAATGCTTTCTGATAAAGTTCAATGTCAGAAATCCTGTGTATCTCCACATCTCCATGGGGTTCATTCACTTCATTCTACACATCGTTTCCTTCCGTCACTCTGTCTTCACAGGTAGAGGACACTGTAAGGAAGAAGCCTAGGATGACCACTGAGGTGAGCAGCAAGAAGTGTCAGCAGACTCTGGCAGAACTGGAGAGTGTTCTCAGCCACCTAGAGGACTTCTTTGCCCGAACACTGGTCCCACGGGTGTTGATCCTTCTTGGAGGCAATGCACTCAGCCCCAAGGAGTTCTACGAACTTGACTTGACCAGGCTGGTCCCCTTCAGTGTGGACCAGAGCCTGAACACAGCGGCTTGTTTGCGGCGTCTCTTCAGAGCCATCTTCATGGCCGATGCCTTTAGTGAGCTGCAGGTCCCTCCACTCATGGGTACCATTGTCATGGTACAGGGGCACCGTGACTGCGGGGAAGATTGGTTTCGACCCAAGCTCAACTACCGAGTGCCCAGCCGGGGCCACAAACTCACTGTGACGCTGTCTTGCGGCAGAACTTCCATCCCAGCCATAGCTTCAGAGGATTACATTTGGTTCCAGGCACCAGTGACACTTAAAGGTTTCCATGAGTGAGGGCGATGACTGAATTCTCCCCTGTGGTACCAAGGGCACTCATCTCATGATTGGAACTGAAGCTGCTTCCTGGGGAGGGAGGAAGTCCCTGTCCTGGTGATATGCCTCCTCTCCCCAGACTGTCTGATGATGGCATGTGACTGACTGTGGCAGTCATCAAGCAAAGCCCCCAAATCAACGAGTGACTCCCAGAGGCCTCTGGGCCTGGTAGTTCTAGTTCAGATTAGAAAGCATGGAGGTGGCCCTTCTCTGCTTTATTCTGTGACTTCAGAACTATTTGTTACCAACTGATGAATCTAAATATGAAATGAATAGAGTTGTATTAAATTTTCCTAACACTTTTGACTTAGACTGTTTGGTCTTGAAACTCAAGGGTTTTTGTTGTTTTGCCTTTTGTTTCTTAGAAAGTCTGTGTATCCTAGGTTGGCTTTAAATGTGCTGTGTATAGGAGCATCTAATTCTTCCTCCTCTCCCTCCTAGATGTTGGGATCCTCGGCATATGCTGCCATACCTGGTTTCCTTGGTGCCGGGGTTGGAACTCAGGGCTTCATTCACGGTAGGCAAGCACTCTGTCAACTGAGCTGCACCCCAGGCACTAAACTCTGTCAACTGAGCTGCACCCCAGGCACTAAAGGTCAGCCCGGGTCACCTCATACTTGTGATCTCCATCCTCTTCAGCTTGCTGGTGTGCATCTCTACAACCACAGGTGTGTGTTTGGGGCTGAGCTTTTCTACTTCCCTGATTCCAGGATTTTTCCTGTGACTTTTTCCGTCTCTTATCAGTCCCAGTCTGTGAAGTTAAGTGACTTGGTCTAGCTTCTAGAAGGAAGACTATACCAGAGTTGGACCTAATTCTCATCTGTTAACTTGTAACCAACTTTCTCTTCTGACACATACTAACTGCTCTTTGACCCTTAAATTCTGAGTGCTCAAAGCTGAGGTCACTTTTCCTGTAGGTAAAGTCCTGCTAAGGAACTTGGAGTGGCAGGCCAAGGACTAAGAGCCCAGGCGCATAGAGAGCAGTCTGGCCTGTGCCTGATCTGTGGTAGACTCCAAGTGGATGAGATGCAGGAGCGTGCAGAGGAGCCCCCACCAAGATGGTCCAGCTCAGAGAGCAGCGGCCAGAGCCCTATTCAAAAAACTTACTGGAGCTTCTGCCAGTGGTCAGGTGGGACGGGAAGGTGTTACAGTACTCAGGCCATGAAGTCGCCAGGAGCTGAGTCGGGTGGGGCCCTGCAGCCTGTTCACCTGTTCTGAAGTGTCAGTGGCGCAAGTAAACTGGATCAGTTCTGCTCTTCAGATCTGAGAAACAAATTCCAGAGGAAGCAACAAAGAGACTAGGCTGAAAACAGGAAACCAAGAGGCTCTTCCCAGAGTTACGTGGGACTGTACGCTCAGGCTCCCCAGATAGCCCTGGGGTTCTGAGGGCTTTTCTCCCTGTGCTCCGCTTCCTTCTGCAGCTTGTCCAGCCTGTCTCCACTGCCTGATAACTGCTGCCATTGCTTCTGGCAAAAATGTCCCTTCTCTCATTCCTGGCAGCAGGTAGAGGATGGAGGTAGCCCGCCCTGCTGAGGGGATGCGTGTGCCAAATGGTTAGGCGCGCATGTGTGTGCACGTGTGTATGCATGTGTGTGTGTGTGTGTGTGTGTGTGTGTGTGTGTGTGTGTGTGTGGTGCTTGAAACTAAGTTTACTGTTTATTTATTTATTTATTTATTTAGAGACAGGGTTTCTCTGGCTTTGAAGCTTGTCCTGGAACTAGCTCTTGTAGACCAGGCTGGTCTCGAACTCAGAGATCCACATGCCTCTGCCTCCCGAGTGCTGGGACTAAAGGCATGTGCCACCACCAATGCCCAGCTATTTTGGTTTCTTAAATAAGTTTTGAGACAATTTCACCTTAATTGAACTTGATGGGTAGCATAGAATGACCTTGCGCTCCTGACCTCCCTGCCACTGCCTACTAAATGCTGGGATTATAGGCTGCCAGGCCAAGTTTTTACTTTGTTTCCTTTCGTATTTCAGAAGCTGAAAGCCAGTCTTGGAAAGCCTGTAGCAAGATCCCCTTTTTGATCATATCTTCCCAAACTTCCCTTCTGCTTCCCCTGCCTGTCAACATGCCCCTCCTACGTTCATGTCCTTTCTGTGTGAATTCAGTTTGCAGGCATCATGGCATTTCAGTTCTGCATACTTCAGTATACCCTCTGCTGTGCCCTCAATGGAGGCTATTTCCACAATCCAGTGTCCCTCTGGCCTCTTGTCCATCTGCCCCCCCCCCATGCTTCATGTGCCTATATACCTTGTTAAGAACTTACACAAGGTGGGGCAAGACTTTAGTCCCACCACTTGGGAGGCAGAGTTCCAAGCCAGCCTGATATACAGAGCTAGTTCCAGGACAACCTCCAAAGCAATACAGAGAAACCCTGTCTCAAAAAGGCAAAAAAACAAAACAAAACAACCAAACAAAAGGAAAGGGACAGGGGCAAGGATGTACCATCATGTGGGTTAAGCTGCAGATTTAGCGTAGATCAAAAAACATAGTTTGCAGTTTACATCAGATCTAAGAAACAGGAGCTTATTCTTAATTACAAATAGAAATTTTAATTTGCAAATATTTATCACAGGACAGACAGGAATTTATCCTTTATTATAAATAGAAACAGAAACCTTGTAAGGATTTAACACAGGACAAACAGGAACCAATTTCTTAATTGTCTTTAAGTGCAAACAGAAGCCTTAACCTGCAAGCCTATTTTTCCTGTTTTGGTCTCACAATAACGCGCAAGGTATCTTATTTCTGTTCTGCTCTCACATTAACGCTCCACTCCATTATAGATGAGGTTTGGGGAGACGAGTTTTCCTCCACGGTGAGGCATGAATTCAAACCTGCTCACCTGCCTGCACACGCTGCTCCCTCTGTACTGTGACATTGGCGTGGTTTCTCTCTGAAATAGCCACGGTTATTTCCTGCTCCAAATGGGTGCATCACAAAGCTTCCAGAAACCATGCTGGTTTCCGAGGTGGAACTTGTTGGCCATACAGGAATCCAGATTCAGTAGGGACAAGATGTTGTGAGCTGTGCTTTGTGTTGAAATCATCTGACGTGTATCCCAGCGGCCAGACTGGTTGTTTTTCTGATGGTATTTCTTTACAGAAGAATTGGGCTGTGTTACCAAAGCAGAGCAGGAAATGGTGGAGGGGATCTGACGAGAGCAGGGACGTGGACCATACGTTGTTGTTTCGAGATGAAAGACCTATCCCAGGTCAGCTGTCCTCAAATGCTCATTTAAAAAGCCATGATAAACAGTGCTCAGGCAATCAAAACAAAGTAATTATCTGAGTGATTTGGACACATTTCTCTGTGGGCTTGGCTTGGGGGCCCATTTGACTTCATGAGTCTTCCCTAAAGGAATCCAGAAATAAAAAGACCAGTCACTATAAATCCAGCCTAACTTCCCTGAAACAAGCCTTCGGGGGAACCTTTGATTCTGAGTCTGTCTGGGGTCTCCAGAAGTGTGTGTGAACCAGCAGTGGTTAGGTCAGCCCGGGGAATGCTGAGTCCTACGATAGAGGATGTGTGCTGCTTTTCCATCCGTCCGTTGCTACCATTTGAGCCCAAACAGTTGTGGGGCCCGAGGTTATTTATGTCCATGTAGGTTGTGGCTGATACGCATGTGTAGTGGCTTTTTTTTTTTTTTTTTTTTTTTTTTTTTTTTTTGAGACAGTATCTCACTCTGAGTCCACGGGCCGCTTTAGGTTACTTCTAGGACAGGTCTAATTGTTAGGAAGACCAGGCCGGCCTAAACAAAAATCTGCCTGCTCTGCCTCCTCCCTTTCCACATCATCCTTTCCCAAGGAGTAGTCCTGTGTTTTATTGTTTAATTATTTGTCACACTAGTCCTGGGAGGAAAAGAGCACTCGTGTGAAAACTTGAGAGGGGAGAATGGATAGCACCTGCTTTGGTGAAACCTGGCTTCCAGTGGGCTTAGAGGATGTCAGAAAGTAGTGCTTTTAGAGTCAGGAGGTGTCAGATTCTTTAAAATTCTCGGGCATAGGTGGTGCGTGGGACTTAATAGTGAGCGCGCGTGGAGCTGGTCTGCTCTATCGGGAAGCAGCGCTGGGACAATAAAAGACAAGTCTGGACCACACAGTGGAAGAGGAGAGGAGGACCAGTGTGCTCCCAGGCTCCTGGAAAGGGCGGGTTTGGAGAGATGGGCGGTTCGGTGGGTGGGATTTTGTTTCCTACCAGACTGAGGGGCGGGGCCCAGGGTCTCCATGGAGACGGCTTCTAGCCGGCGGACTAGGGTGGAGGTGAACGGCTGGCCTGATGGATGCGGACAGCCTCTTGTTGTCGCTGGAGCTGGCGTCCGGCAGCGGGCAGGGTCTCAGCCCGGACCGTCGAGCCTCGCTGCTCACGTCCCTTATGCTAGTTAAGCGCGATTACCGTTTTGCTCGGGTCCTTTTCTGGGGCCGCATCCTTGGCCTTGTTGCGGATTACTACATCGCACAGGGCCTGAGTGAGGACCAACTCGCACCACGCAAGACTCTGTACAGGTGAGGCGACCGTGTGGCAGGCGAGGCTGCAGAACACCGTAGTGGTGGGTGCGGCAACGGCTGGGAGAAGCGGGTGGGCAGGACCCGTCTCAGGAGCATGGAGGAGGGGCCTGTGGGCGGGGCCTGGGGAGGGGAATGGACAGTTGAAGAGCTTGAGGGTCTGGATCCTGACGGGGTTGGAAAGTGGCTGGTGGTGGGGGATCTTGACAGAGTTGGAAAGGGGGTGAGGACTCAGGGCTTGTCATTTTGGAGAAGCAAGAGAAACTGGTGTAGATGGATTCATAATAGAGGGAGGGCTAAACTGAACAGGCACAAAATGAGAGGTCCCAGAGAAGGCGAGCTGGTGTAGAATTCAGGCTCCAGCTGTGGACTGGATTTGGCTTGGAGAAGTCAGACGCTCTGGGGGTTGTGCTAGAGCAGTTTGGAAGCATCTCCCATGGGGATGTGGGCTCCGCAGTGGGAGGTGCTCTCAGAAGCAGAAGGCTTGTGGAATGGGTACAGATACGCAGACACATCACTCATACACATAAAAACTTAAAGATCGCATCTTAAAAAAAAAGAAGGTAGAATTGGGGTGTACATAGAGATACCAAGGGTCTTGAGCTGCTGGAGAATGGCTAAATAAGCTTAATCAGGGTCGGGCTAAAACTCCCGCACTCTGACTAGGGAAGGCTTTGAGTGTCTGGGAAGTGAGCTTGACAGAGGCAGCATGCTTGGACATGTCAAGGGTTTGGACTTTGTCCATAGGCCACGAGGAGACACCAAAGGGGCTATGCAAGCAAGAAGAGCCCAGATCTGACTG